TTAAAAAGTAATTGTACTCAGAGACCTGGAATTTCCGTTAACATCGTCTGCTAAAGAAATTGTTGAAATACGTATTGCAGAAGCGGGGAGGGAAGACTGCTGTGGTTATTACAGCTGCTGCTCAGGGGAGCTATTCAGATGCCTCATTTATTGGAGCTTAATAGATTAAAAGTCCAAATTGAGTCTCATGAAATAAGCCTAATCAAATTCTAATCTGCATAATTTCCCCATAAGTGGCAATGGGAATTTTTTTTATATAATTTATGTTTGAGCAGTTGCCAGTCATGTGTTAAACAGCATTGTTGTGTTTACTTAACAAAATATGTTTTGTTCTTTGTTTGCACTGATGTTTTTATTTTTGTTTTGCTTTTCTCTCACTTAAAAAGCTAGGTGCCTATAGAAGTCTTCCCTAAATTGCATTTAAAATTCCCTTTCTGAAACAGTGAGCTTCCGTTTACAACTCATTGACAACCTGCCTTAGCAAACGTAAGGATTAATGCAGTTTAATTAATTTGAATAGGTGAGCACAGGTCACAATTCCTTAGTACCAAGACTAAATTTAACACTGGTTTGTACCAGAAAGCAAACAGAGGTCGGATAAGAATTTCAAAATCATGATAATTACACTCAGATCTTGTGAAATGGTTCATTCATGCCAAGTGGAACATACCCACAAGTCAGTATTCAAGTCTGCTGCTTGTTGCGTTTGCCCAGGTGAATGTATTTAGGCATGTATGTGACTTTCCCAAGAAATTTCTTGCTGAAATTTCTTACCACCTCTGAAAATCCCTTGGATGTTTGACCAAAGCAGGAACCACCAATTTTATCCTGAAATTTCACTGTAATCCTGTTTCAATGACAACACTTTTTTTAAAATGAAGGGACAACTAGATGTGATACTAAGAAAGCTATGATAGGATTTCCCACTGTTCTAAAAAGTTTAAGAGAAATTCTGCATCCTTCCATCCCTTCATTTTCCTTATACAAATCCCTTGTGTATCTGCTATTTGTCCTGCGGGAGAAACATACATGGACCATAACGTTGTATTTGCCCCCCTCCACCCCAGAAATAACAGGGGGGGTTGGGGGGTTATATGGAAATTGGGAGGGAAATTAAACACCTGCTCCTTAAGTACTGTAGTTCAGATTAGATTTGAATCCCCCATAGCAATTATTAAACTTTTTAAAAGAAGCAAGGCTATTAAACTTTTTAACATTTGGCCACACACAATCGCTTTGTCAAATGTGAAATAGCTCTGAATGACACATTTTGTGGGGCAAATACATGAAAATCAGGGAGAAACTGGGTCAAATTTGTGTTCGCATGCACATCTGTGTATATACAGGGGGGGGTGTCTTTGGATAGCACTGTGCAAAAAAACTGACCTTCCCCTTAACGTTTCAGAAGTCTTTAACCTGAACGTATCTGCTAACTGGATTCCCCCACTCCTTCCATTACACATTGGGTATATATGTGAGGGTGCCAGCTAAAATATAGCTATTAGCCCCAACTGTCTGGTTAACTTTAGTTTGGGAAGTGGTAATTTCCACACTGGCTAAATACACGAATAGCTTTTGTCTCTCCTCGAAAATACTGTTAGTCTACTGTGCAGAGTTTAATACCTAAGGAGCACTCTGCCCTGGGGTCTGTTCCCCTTGGTGGTGGGTTAAGCGTTTCCCTGTTTGTAGCCTATGAAATTGGCTTATAAAACTTCGTTTCCTGCTCTCTTGATGATAGGTGTATGATGTCGGAGTGAACCCATCCTAAAGGTGTGTTCAGAGGGGTGCCCATAGAGGTAGCAGAAGCCAAAGAGCAGAGGGCCCCGAGGTCAAGCGAGGCAAAAACAAGATTCCCTTTGAGCATAAACGCCCTTTCAGAGAAGGGAAAGAATATATTCCTTTAAGTCTACAAGACATAATTGTATGTGTGGTTTTTTTGTTTTCGTAAGCAGCTTTAGTTTAGTGTGCTGTATAACTGGGATTAAGAGAAAATAATAAAGATGTGCTTTAATATTAAGGGGTTACATCCAATCAGCCTTTTTTTGCTTGTGTCTGCGGAAGTCACTGCTTTCGTCTCTGGCTCTGCAGCTTCTGATCACCAGGACTGGCTTTTTAGAGGTTGCAGCCGGAAGTGGGCAGGAATCCCCATATCATGACTGGAACATAGACTAAGAGTCCAAGCCAATATCATTGATACTATTTAAATATAATAACTATGGCAACTCCTTCGAACACTGGGTGGTAGCTATCAAACTGCAAGATGTCTCACACTGCCTTCAGTAGCTCAAATAAGCTTTTGGCACAATTAAAAATTAAATTGAATAAATAGATATAAATTTAATGTAATTATCCCCCCCTAGCAACCTACCAATTAAAGCTGACCTTTTCTCAGGCCCAGGTCATGTAATTTCCATAACATGATGGTGTTTTTGAAGATGGTGGTGGTGGTGGTGCTGAAGAAGGAAAAAAAGTTTATTTAATGGTCCACTGAGAGACTCCCCAGCCATTTTCAAGTGGTTAGCAGAGGAAGGGCTTGGAGTGTTAGAATGACTGTTCTAGACAATAAACTGAAGCAACTGCTAGCATTGTAGCTCCTAATTAATGTGGGGTTATTTTATGAACCAAAGGAAAATCAACAATAACAGTTACCCCTCTTCAGTTTTATGGGCCCTAATATTTAAGCTTGGATGACTGAAAACATGAGAAGGCAAATGAAAATGGATATTTTGAGTAAAGCGTGTCATTTCTGAATGAAGGAGGGCTCTGTGAAGTAGAAGAGAATCTCTTCACATCCCCAAACAGCACTTACATCTCATGACTTAGCCTGTTTCTGGTGCTGTAATGAAATACTGCTTTCCTAATACCCTGTGACCTGAATTCCTTCCTGCTTTGTGGGTGCTATTCCTTGACGTACAAATCTGTATTTTCTCAAGTCAGCATTTGATGATGGATGTCAAAATACAGGCCATGTATTATGCATATATAGCATTACCGATTTAAGGTGTTTACTTGTCAAGTTGAAGAAATTCAAAAACTTCACATCCACTGAATTCACACAGCTGTCACTTGCAGTTTTTCATACTTTCAAATAAAAGTTGTGATAAAACAGTTTATGTTTCCTTCACTTTTTTTTTTTTTTTGAAGGAAGAAAATAGGCAGCATCTAAAATTTATGCTTTGGGCTGGCTAGAAAAGACTGCAAAGAGGATGTTCCTGGAGGTTGGAAGGGGGCCTGCTGTCTACCACTCTTCTCCCTGCCAGCTCTCTAAGAGAATGGAAATAATAATAATACTTAATATTTATATATATAAGCAAATTATTTCCCCTGGCAACCCTGGAGTGGACTTGTTTCATTCCTGTTGCTCTAAAGGCGCATTTATTTTATTGAAATATGGCACCCCCAGACTGGCAAACCAGACAACCTTTATTAATTTATTTTGGTGAGGAAATGCCAACCAGCCATTTAATTCCATGCACTGAGTGCTCTGTTTCTGAGTGAAAAGATTACTCGCAAATGTTTTAAATAAATACATTTGTATACAGTTGTGTAGAACTAGCTTTCCATTCAGGGAGAAAATGCAAGCCATTTAGTACTTTTTTCTTCTGTGCATTTGCTTTGTGTATACAATTTGAAATTATAAAGCTGCTGACAGTCTCACAGAAATGCCATATGCGTTTCAAACAAACACTGGAGAGGGGATAGTGGGGGTGGGTGGGTTGAGGCTAAAAGCTGCCATGCTAAGGTGAGTAGGAAGAGTTCATGTACTTATATTGCAGCCATATTCTGCTTAGAGAAGAATGCAAAGGACTACCAGTTCCACTTTGGAGAAGCTCTGAATAATGCAGCCAACTATAGCCTGATTTTCTCCTGTTTCCAAAAACTCTTTCCAAACACTGCTGGTCAGATACACCTAGTAGACAGCAATAGAGCACAAAAGGTTGAAGCGTTTCACTTCTTGGCCTTGGCTGCCGACGTATAGATTTCCTCCCTAGGGCAGCATACGGATGTTCAGAGGGTGGAGCCTTGTAGAGCAAGTTAGGACAAGGGTAAGGATAGCAGCACAGCCCTGTTCCTTGTTTTAATTACCTTTTAAACCGATTAACCATTCTGTCGTATGATAAGGTCTGTAAGATAGCATGGCATGGAAGGCATAGGCCAGTACAGAGATTTCAGTCCACTAATCTGAAATAACAATTCCAAGCTCGGTCGATGCAACTCAGCTAGGTATCCCTTACATACCATTCTGAGCTGCTTGGAGCAACCAAAACCAGCGTGGTTCTGATTTTTTTATTGATAAGGAACACATGGGGAGGGGCGGGGCAGGAGATCCAACTAGGATTGTCCTCAGTATCACTTGATTTTCTTGCTCTCATTTTGAAAATATATTTATCCACATTCTGTAAATAAAAACAATTCTGTTGATACTGTATTATACTACACTGAACTGAACTGTTTCATTGTTTCTTGGAATGTCCTTGAGACTCCTGCCACGCCATTGCCACACCCTCTGAGAACCCCTGGCCTAAGATGATGATCATGGAGATCTGGACAGGCACATGTAGAGAGACATGCAATCCTTCAGATAAGCTGGCCCCATGCCAAAGAAGGGTTTTGAAAGCAAAGTAAATAAAATAATTTTTTTTATTATGCCCAGGAATAGACCAGGAACCATTGAAAGCTGTTAAATAAGTGGTAACCCAGTGTAATGCCTAAATTTTGGCATGATGTTTTCTCCGCAGTGAAGAGCCAGTGTGGTGTAGTGGTTAAGAGCGGTAGTCTTATAAGCTGGTGAACCGGGTTCGCGTCTCCGCTCCTCCACATGCAGCTGCTGGGTGACCTTGGGCCAGTCACACTTCTCTGAAGTCTCTCAGCCCCACTCACCTCACAGAGCGTTTGTTGTGGGGGAGGAAGGGAAAGGAGATTGTTAGCCGCTTTGAGACTCCTTAGGGTAGTGATAAAGCGGGATAGGAAATCCAAACTCTTCTTCTTCTTCTCCGCAGGGTTTTCACCACCAGGAATGGACAGATCATCACCAGACAACAGCCCGGTGCATGGCCTTCTACGTCAGCACTCAATCACAACAGGAATTGATATCCCTATTATAACAGAATTAGGTAAGAGAAATTGAAGGTGATCTGTTCTTGTTTGCTCATTTCTTTACCCTTCTTCTCTCCCTCTTTGCCAGCCTAAGGTAATGAACACAGGTCATACGTAGTACCTTTCATTTAATGTACTGATGTTTAATTATTCTTGTGAAGGAAGGGGGGGACGGACAATGACTAAGCAAGCTCTTTCACCGAAGCCTGAACATAATTTAATTTCTTCCCTTATTTGGTGACAGATCTTCAGAATCTGCTCTATAAAACAAAGCTTGGATGCACCACCAGAGGGGGAACAGAAATCAGTGCTAAGAGTGGGGCTGATCCCTACATTCAGACAGAAACATGGGTGGGCAACCTGCCACAGCTGGAAGGTCCACAGGCTACTGCCCACCATTACACTCTGTTGTTTGCCCCTTGCCTTTCAACAAAACCACCTTAACACTTCCCTCTCCCCCTTGCGGGTGGCTGTGGTAGTAAGAGCCATTGCATTGAGTGCAATTATCCCCCAGTTTACACTTGCCCGCTGGATTACAGCACCCCTGTGAGCAGATGCAGGATTGCACATCTGTTTATCAGGACTGATGTGCCCGAGTAGGTGTGGCTCTTTGGTTGCAGAGGAAATGCAACCATTTGCCCCGTGTGCTACCTGCATCTTAACCAAAAATAAATATTTGCTTGTTCATTCCTCTGCTCTTATGCTGACAAATTAATAACTAATTTGTTCCGTAATGGCATTGGGAGTGTTATCATGGAGAATGTGGCGACCGTTTGCTTGTTTCCCATTTCTGCTGTGGCATTAGACTAGTGAGTGTTGTCAAGCAGTGTGAAGCGTGAAAGCCATTCTGTTTCTCATAGTAAAGGCAAGCTTGATTTGTAGTCCTTTTGTCCTGTTCACTTTCTTTCCATTTAGTTTTAGACCTTACCTGTCTTATCCCTTACTTTATTCTCTTTCTGTGCCTTCTTTCCCCTTCCACCCCAATCCCCTCCTAAACACTTTACTTATTAGCTAAGCCTGGCAAACTTCTGCCTTTGGTTTCAATCAGTCAGGAAAAAAACAGTGGAACTCACATTCTAATGATAACTGAACTGGGTAAGAAGTGCCTTTTTCCTTCACATCAACTGTCTTTTGTTTCATTGTTGTTCCTACTGTCATCAGCTTTCTCTTTTATTTATCTGGCTGTATCAGAGGGGGCTACCCTCAGAGCACCGCTTTGAATGTGTTTTATTTGTGATTCCAGTTGAAATCGACTGTCTTGTTCTGGCTTTTCTTAATGATTTTTCCCCCCTCCATACGCAGCATCAGTAAATCTTTGATCACACTCATCTGACCTGCCGGCTGCTCCCATAGTATCTTCACACCAATTCATTTTTCTTTGGTCTAGACATTTTCGCTCTCTCTCTCTCTTGCTTTGCTTTCCTTAAAAAAAAAATCTAGCCACCTGTCAATTTGACTGACATGTCTTAACAGCTCTCAGAGGAGTCAAAGAAGAAATAAGAGACATTTTAGTTGGGGGAGAAAGAAACTCCAGCATCAGCTCTTCCCTTAAGCTGTTGGTTTGTTTTGGGGGCCCACTTTCCACACAAAAGCTAAGGGTTCTGATGTTCTGAAACCAGCTAAGCTTCTAAACAGGCTTCTTTGGGAAAGTGAAATTTTGATTAGCACTTCCTATGGCAAAGTCCTGCACTCTTAAACCAATCCTACCTCTAGTCCCATCTTAGCTCAGAGACATTTCATAGTAATCCTAGCAGGAGAATGTAGGCCAGGACGATAAAGCTATTGAGGCTTAGCCTTGCAACGTTCACATTAGATTTTGCTGCGATTCAGAAATTGTCACCATGTAAAAGGTGGGAAAGCTTTTGTGTCAGGTATTAGCCTTGTGTGAGTTATTAGTCTTTCAAGTCTGCCAGTAGGAAGTGGTATATACAATGCTGCTGAAGATTGTGCCTTGGTTTAATTTAGCGTTTGAAAACAGACTCTTGTCTTCCCCAAAGGTCCATTTTTGAAGCGGAATGTACTCTCTCAAATAGACATTTGCTTCAAAAAGAAGTAGAAAAGAATGTTAAACAAAGCAATTTTGTTATTCATTGACTATAAGACACAGAGGGATTTTTATAAATGGAGAATGTTGTGGCCAAAATTTGCCTGGGATAAGGGAGTGCTCATAATAAGGCATGTAAAACACATTATAGTATTTTTGCTGTATAATATTAGAACCAGAGAATATGGGTCCAGGACTGTCTCCATTCCTTTCTGACCAACTTTTTTTAAAAAAACAAACAAACAAAAACAAACCACTTGTACTCTGCTTTGAAGCAGTTTATAAATCTATTAAATAAATAAAGCAAATCTTCATCACACTGATCCTATTTTTTCAGATACGGTTTAATTTCAGGTGAAATTCCTCAAATGTGCCACACCAGGTCTATTATAGGAAGCCATCTGGGCCTTTACTTGTCTTTGAGCTGAAACAGTATTTTGTGTGATCTCTATTGTGTAATGTAAAGCTGGAGTTGTTCCCTCCTACTGACAAGGCAATCTTGGCTGTGCTCCTGATGATACCAAGAAACTCCTCATATGAGAAAGTTATTTCACCTTTTGGGACATTCACATTTCATAACGATCAGCTGGTGTTTGTTTCTTTGTTTCCTCTCCCAACACTCATTTCAAACACCCATTTAAACTCCATTCTCACCATCTCGCCTATGTTTCTGGGGACACACACACACACACTCCCCCCCCCGACACATGTAGCATGATGAGGTCTTCTGCTGGTTTATTTATTTGTTAATCATTATCTTTTTAGTGAATGATTCAAATGTTCAGTTTCTGGACCAAGATGATGACGACGACCCTGATACAGAATTGTATCTCACGCAACCGTTTGCGTGTGGAACTGCATTCGCAGTCAGCGTGCTGGATTCTCTCATGAGCGCAGTAAGTATCCAGTGTTTTCTATTTCCTCATTACACAGATGGTTGAAACCTGCCATTTCAACCACAGCTCTGCTGGAAAACAGACTGCTCCTTTTACCTGACCCATTTTTGTATGTCTCACTCTGCCTGTACATCCTTAACTTTTCGATCAGCACTGGAAGAAGTAGTACAGTCAGAAACCCAGTGGCTCATAGGTTGTAGAGAACACACAGCTTTTCAGCTGGGGAAACACCTCCCAGTGCCTCATTTGCCTTAAGAACTACAGTGGGGACAAACAAGCAAGGTGGTCTGAGAATAGGTTGCTCAAGTGCCCTTGTGACATTAAGCTAAGCCTCTGTCCTTCAGCCCACAACTAGTTGCATGGTTGAAAACACCCACCTCTAATTTTGCTCCATGCTGTGTAATTCAAATGTTGTCTCAGCTCACGTGTGCAGCCTACATCCAGGATGGAGAATAAATGTTGCATGCGCAACAGGCCTGGAGCTGCTACTGCTACTGTAGGAACAAATGGCTGCAGGAGTGGTAAGACACAGGGACTCATTCTGTATGATATTTTGGACCTCCCCCAGCCCTTTAAAGAATCCTGTCCAAAACGCAAGGATGTTCCCATATGGCTACAAATAAAGTCACCTAAAACGAATGCAGGTAAGAAGCAGGTAACTGAGGAAGGAGGCAGTGGATAATTTTGGGGGTCTCAAGAGAAAGACAATATGCAGAAGCCAGCCATCCAGCCAAGGAGTTGTGCAGGGATATGGCCAAGTACGGGCCTCAGAAGAAACACAGCTGAGGAAGTAAGCAATTCCCTAATGAGGTAAGTTATCATATTTAAGAGTAAAGCTATCCTTTCATTCACAGTCCTTGAAGTAGTGGGTGTTTAGATTTTGCAATATGTGGCTTTACTGTGCAACGACCACCTGTTTTGACCAAATTACGTAGCAAAAATGAGGGTGCGCATTAGCTTTGTTGGCACATTTACATTCAGCAGCAAATACGTCTTTGGTTTCAAGGTTTTGAAAATCGAGGTGCACATGTGTAAATACAGTGTTTTACTTTAGTCAGTTAGTCAAAAACAAGGCAATCCATCTAATAAATTTTTCTTTCTTTTTTAAAAATGATATTTATTGAAATTTTACAGACAGAAAAGAGTTACAAAATTAAAAAAGAGCAAGTAAAAAATACAAAGAAAAAAATAAAAGGTACAAAAATACAAAGAAAAATACAAAATACATAAAAAGTAAAAAAACAATTAAAATTTTCTTTTTTTAACATTGGTTGACAGCCACAATGATTATTTTTGTAAAGCGCTTAGAGGTTTCCTTACAATGCAATTTTTGTTAAATAAAATATAACACAAGTCTTATACTTTCCAGCTGTTCAGAAATATTATCAGGTGATAAACTACTCTCTTGGTTTATCTTATGATTAAATCATGCAATACAGTACAAATCTGTGTGGTAGATTTATCAGATAAATACATTAGATTATTTCTGCTCTGTTTAGGGTTCACTCCCTGTAACATTACTAGCTTTAAGATAATGACTTCAATTCAAGACTGTCAGCATTTGGAGATCCATTATATTTTAAATAAACTATACAAATAAAAATGCATTTCTGTAATACTGACAAAAAACAAATACTCCAGCACTAGAGTTTCTCTTTAAGCTACTCTATGCAAACTAGCAAGTATTTTAAATGTGGCAGCCTTGACACAGAAAATGATAGTTTTAGAATAATTATAAGTGAAAGGCAAAATGCTATTAGAATGTATTAAAGAGCTCTGTTAATTTTCAGTTAAATTTTCTGTAAGAGACCAATTAGTTTAAGAAGCATGACAGCATTAATGGTGAGCCATAAGATCTTGTGATTATTTTACTTTTAAAAGGGAGGGGGGAATTTTACAAAGCAGGCCCCAAATAGTTGTGCTCTTTCAAGAGTTTTGATGGAATGCAGAAAAAAGGGCTAGGTGGCACTGCAAGCTCAAATATAGAGACCTGTCTTTTGCCCAGGTTATAGTAAGCCAGGGTTGTGCTTACCTTTGTCCCTCAAGCTGGAACAATTGCAGATAGGCTCACATGATTATCTAGTTATAAACTGTGGCTGCAAATTAAAAGGTCTTTACTCTTGATTGCTACACAGCCAACAGCAGGAATTTGGCCTAAAAGGATTGTGCTAAACTTAATCACCTTTCTAAATGCATTCAGATTTTTTTCCTACTGTGAGTAGCAGATTCAGATTGCATCACCTCTTTCATGGATCGATCAGAAAATAGTTTTCTAGTTAATTTTTCCACGTGGCCTTATGTTTCATGTCCAAAGACCTGACTACATAGTAAAATGTTATTTAGAATGTTCTGAATCTTTTGGAGTTTGAAGCTGCCACAAGATTTCCCCCCATTGTTTTAGTAGTAGTAGTAGTTGTAGTAATCTAAGAGCTAAAGATTAGCTCCTACACCCTCAAAGAAAAAACAGGGTTACCAAACGTATCCATTGAAATTCAGTCCATGCAGTTCCAGGAATTTCAACAGATGCACCTTTTCCTACTTCTACCAACTGTGAAATATGTAGGAGTCCAAGCCACAGTAGGATAAGTAGCAGGCATAGCTCTCTGGATATTAAAATACTCAACCTGGTTCTGGAAAGAGCATCTTTTCAGAACAGGTTGAGGTCTCTGTGATGCTAACTATAATCCCTTCCTGTTGAAACTCAAACCAGCAACCATCTTCTATCCGAAAGCAGCAGCCTTGCTGTCCATAGTGTGACCAGAGGCCAAGAGGGACAGGGCTTATGTACCTTTTATAGCAGGGTAGAAGGGGGGGAGGTCTGGCAGGGATGCACTTGCCAGAACTCCCTATTCTACACGGCCATTCAAAGGTGCCATCGCCCCGCCCTCTGTTGAATCTGGTTTCCCTAGCAACCACAGAAAGTGCTGAAACAAAAGCCATAGGACTGCAACAACAATCTATTGATAATCAGCAGTTCACAATCAAGTAGATAAAATATCAGAATTGCAAAATGAACATTTCAGCAAGGTTTTAAAAAACCCCAAACTATATACAGTGGTGGCTCGCAAGACGAAATTAATTTGTTCCGCGAGTTTTGTCGTCTTGCGGTTTTTTTCGTCTTGCAAAGCACGGTGTCGGGAAAGTTTTGGAAAAGCTTCAAAAATCACCAAAGTCTTTAAAAACCTCAAAAAAGGCTACCACACTGCGTTCTATGAGTTGCTCCTTGAAGTCAAGTCGCAACTGTATTAACGGTGTTAAGAAAAAGGAAACAAACTTGCAAGACGTTTCCGTCTTGCGAAGCAAGCCCATAGGGAAAATCGTCTTGCGAAGCAGCTCAAAAAACAAAAAACCCTTTCGTCTAGCGAGTTTTTTGTCTTGTGAGACATTCGTCTTGTGAGGTACCACTGTATCACAAAAATAATTATTATTTCACTGAAGAATGCTCTAAGCAGCTGACAACAGACAGGCTTCTAGATAAGGTCCTGTTTCAAAGATCTTTCTCAGGTGGTAACACATCAAAAATGTTTCAATGCCCTGATTGCAGTTTTTGTAACTGGGAGGATTCGGAAATGTTTATATCTCTAAAGATGTTATTTGAATCTAAAAGGATGGTATTATCCAAGCCAGTAGAGTAGAGCTGTTAGCAAAAATGTGCCTGCTAAGCACAATTGGAGGATTCTTCCCATATGAATAATTTGAGGGATGCTAAGGCACCATTGATTTGCTTACTACTGAGCAGACATGTATAGGATTGTGCTGTATAAGTTTTTCCTGGGTTGCCATCCAATTTTTCCTGAAGCAAAATTTGAAGCAATTGCCAGATATGTGACCAATACAGCAGTCCTTGTTAGGATTAGAGATAATCCTCTTTAAAAATAAAATAAAATAAAATACTGTCCTCCACCAGCCATAGATTGCAGCTACTTAAGGAAGCCTCTTGCAACCCGACATGTGCACTTTTAAATGAACTTCCTTCCGCTGGCGTCTAATTAATATTTAAAATGCCCATTGTTTTGCCTGAGAGACCAGAGCAGCTACTGATGCTGGCAAAATGTCACTGTGGAGAAAATCTTCCCTAATAAACTACACTTACCCCATACCCTAGAGTTTTTTAAAAGGACCAGCAGGACCCTAAACTCATCATACATTTATCTGGAATGAACTCAAAATGTTTAATTGATACATGCTTGTGTCTGAACACTGTCAAGTCTCGTAATAAGATGTTTAGTACAATACAGCGGGAAGACAGCTCGAGTCCAGCAACAGTAATAAGTAATGACACCCGAAGCACAGAGGCGGCTCCCCAATGGATTGGTGACAAGTATAAAAAGGCAATCTAGCCTGTGTAAGCTTTAAATGTGGTCTGGATTTTTACAATTACATGTCCTAAAGGCTGTTATTAGACATGAAGGCAATGAGAAGGAAGGCAGTCATTGCTTCACCACTAACACCAATTATAGGAAACATAAATGATTTACATTTTTGTTCTTTAATAAAAATCAGTCCTGAGTTGGATTTTTAAAAAATAAAATAAAAAAGGGGGGGGGTCGAGCAGGAGCCTAATGGGACAGAAGAAAATAGAGTAATTGGGGGCTGCTGTCTTTTCACTTCCGATGAGAAATTATTTGAAGAGACAAGCCAAGAACTTTAAACAGCAGAAACCCAGAAAAGTTGTAATTTGGATGTCTTCAGTTGTGACTTTAATGGTGTTTGCTTGAAGAGCTTTCTTTTATCTCTGCAGACATACTTCAATGACAATATTCTCACGCTGATACGTACGCTGGTAACAGGAGGAGCCACGCCAGAGCTGGAGTCGCTGATTGCGGAGGAGAACGCGCTGAGAGGCGGCTACAGTACACCCCAGACGCTTGCAAACAGGGACAGGTGTCGGGTGGCGCAGCTGGCATTGCTCGATGGGCCTTTTGCAGACCTCGGGGTAAGACCAGGACAGCAAAAGGAAAAGTCCGGGAGCTATTCTGTAGCTGCCTTTGTCTTGTCCTCAACAGAGAAGATGTGTAATCTCTAAAGGCAGTGTTTCTTTAAGTATCGAATTTTGGGGTTGTTTGCTGCAGTGATCTGAGAATTGGCAGCTAGAAGACTTCACCCATCTCCCAGATATTTTCCAGCTGTCCCCTGTCCTCCTCCCCCACCCCTGGCAAACCCTCTTCTGCATTAGTCCTGGGCGATATATTGATAATATTGGCCAGGACTGGTATGAGGGGGCTGAGTGCGATGGCAGTTTCACGCAGGGATATATTGCTCATGAAACCGCCACTGCATCCCTCTGCCTCCGGCGCCCAGCTGAGGGAGAAACAAGGGGAGCCAGGCGCTAGAGGCAAAGGAAGTCAGGAATGGTGGTGGTTTCACCAGCAATATACCGTTGAGTGAAACTGCCATTGCAGTGGGCCCTTGCCTCAGCCAAGCTGTTTTACAGAGCGCCTGACCAGCCACTGGCTCACATCAGCCAGCAGCGCAGTGGGGTCTCCATTAATGTGCTCTCCCCTTTCCGGCTCCTGCTCATACACAAGTAGGAACAGGATTGTGGCTGTGTTTAGCTGGGGAGGTGCAGGCTCTGTCACACTTTTCTATTGAGGGGGGCGCAGCTGCACACCCTCAATGGAGACGTTTACGCGTCCAGCTTGTGCAGAGGCAGCCTAACTTGGCTACGGCCTGGCTGGCTTTGTCCGGGAGGGTGGGCTGCATCTTTCCTCCCAGAAAAACAGAGCCCACCATCCTGCCTTGCAGACTTCACCCAGGAGGATGGACTTCGTCTTTCCTTCTGGGGTGAACAACCCGAGGAAAGAGGCAGCATGCTTGTATGGGTGAAGGCAGTTAAACACTACTGCTGCCTGGTCCATATTTGGGGAGTGGAAGGCGAGTGGGCAGCCCCCCATGCCAAGGAGCCCCTGCCACTAACACACAAGTGGCAGGGACCTCAGGGCTGGCTTGGCAGGGGGTAGGAGCCTTTCCGCACGCCCCCAACTCAGCAGCAGGCTGGGTGGGGGGCAGCTGCATTGGCCCCAGCCCACAAGGCACTTGAGTGAAAGCGCCTCAGCTCCCGCAGTGAGAGCTGAGGCAATTTCACCCCGTGCCTCGCCAGCTGGAGCCAATGCAGCTTGAAAGTGTATCACCATTGTAGTGTATTGCCAAACATTGCGGTTTGGCAATATATCGCAATGTTGAAAAAACAAGCTGCATTGGCCTCTGCCCACAAGGCACTAGGTGAAATTGCTGCAGCTCTCACTGCGGGAGCTGAGGCGCTTTCACCGAAACGTTCACAGGCTGGGACAACGCAGCCTCTTTGCGCAGCTTAGCTGAGGAAGACGAAGGTTCTAACATATAGAATAAGAGAACAAGAAGAACATATATTTAAAGGAGATTGGAAAATGTTTATTGAATATATGGAGGAAAATTGTGTTTGAAAACGTGGGCAGCATTAAGATAAATTCAACAGTGTAAATAAGTTTTGATGGATGTAATAATGATATGCAGGGATTTATATTGTGCAAAATGAGTCATGGAAAGAGCGGAAGGGAAGTCATTGATATCTTAAGGTTGTTTAAAACAGAAATTTAATAAAATTGTATTTTTAAAAAAGGAAGGTTCCCCCTCCCTAGGTGAGACAGCTCTGGTGCTCTCCCAGGAGCATCAGGGCACCTTTAACTGCTTGGCTGAGGCAAGGCAGCTGCACACTCCTCAGTCGAGCAGTTTAAAGATGCAGAGGGAAGAACAAGCCGTATCAGCTCCTCACCAATACAGCTTGTTTCTCCCTCTGCGTCATATGAGGGCAGAGTGGGATGTCGGTATCTCTCAGTGGTATATCGCTGGTGAAACCGCCACCACTCCTGAGTCCCTCTGATAGGAGAGCCCGCTGGAGGAGGGAACTTGACTCCCTCCAGCGGACACTGCTAGCAGAGGGAGCAGTCAGGAGCAGTGGTGGTTTCACCAGCGATATACCACTGAGAGATACTGACATCATGGTCTGCTCCTCATACCAGTCCTGGGCGATATATTGCCCAGGCCTACTGGTGATACACCACAATGCTGAAAACCCAACACCATCCAGCCCTATTCTGCATCACAGGAAATGGCAAAATACCCAAACAACCCTCTTCCAACTGTTAATGGCAGCAAAGAGCTCTTCACTTATGTACCTTGGCTGCTGGCTTCCAAGTGCAACCCAAGACATAGCAAGGGAATAGTGGAGTAGCCCAGGGACCTTTTCAGATGTGACACCATCATTAGGCAAGGTCCTCCACAAGGTAGGCACACACCCCAGCCCTGTTTTACCTTCCTTGTAGTCACCTTATTAAAACATGGTTCTGTGGGGAGGTTTCTAGTTGTCCCATCTGCTCTGGCTTGGGTAAATTCCTATTTTTCTATTGCTGTTTGCTATATTGCTGCTGTTACAATTTGCCATATCCAAGTGGGAGATTTTTATAGAATCGTAGAGTTGGAAGGGACCATGATGGTCATGTATTCCAACCCCAGCGGTGCTGGAATCTTTTGCCCAATGTGGGGCTCAAACCTACAACCCTCAGATTAAGAGTCTTGTCCTCTACTGACTGAGCTATTATTTTCTTCCTAGAATGGATGCCTCCTACTGGAGGCATCAGGCAGGTTCCTCTCCATCCTTTGGCCTTCTCTTCAAGGGGAAGGAGTCATCCCTCTAACCAGACTAGCCCTCCCTGTGGTCATAGAAATTTAAACTGGAACTAGGGTTGGCAGTGGTGATAAACGTGAACTGGGCTGTAACCGTGCCAGTAGTTCAATGTGACTGAATGGCCCTTTATATAAAAAACAGAAAACAAATGTTGAGGAGAAAGGACTCACTGACCTGTCAATTCTTTATGCGCTTTATATTCTTCCATAAGAGCTCCCCATCTGCATCTGGTGTGGTTCAAACTTGACCTCCATGAGAATGAGGCATCTCCATCTTCTTCAAGATTTCTTTACCCAGGCAGGCTGTAAATATAAACTAGCACAGCATAATCTTAGACAGGGTTTCTCCATCAGTTCAAACATTGAACTAGCAGCCATCCAGTGTAGAAAATGAAGTCATGTACATATAGAATAACATCAAACAGATTAAGTATGTCTAACCCCAATGGGCATGCACTTGATTCTCCCTCCCCTTATTGTTCTGACCCATCTTAATCAGGTACCCACAGGGGCAAGGCAGGCCAGTGGCTGGAGCACCACAAGTCACTCCATACTTGGTTCAACAAAGGCCAGAGGTGAACTTAGGCCTGCTAGGTCTCTTCCACCACCAGTTGGACAGATGGGGTAGCATGGGAAGTGCTGGATTGCTCTGACAAATCAAGCACTGTTGGCTCTGAAACCCCAACATCAAGAGCCTGATCAAATTCCCCTGTTGGTAGCATAGCAGCTCTGGACTTGGCTGACTCCTCCTCTGAGCTTGAGGCGATGACACCTAATTTGTAGAAGGGATAATCCCACAAATGGGAATACACAAATGCCCATGTACTTACTTAAACAAAGGTTACATCCTATGTGAGATGGGAAGCACATGCGCAACCCTGCTGCCCCTTTGCACAAATTGGATCCTTGTGAAAAATACCAGCTTTGACTACCCCCATGGTTCTTGCAGTATGTGGGGGTCACATACTGCTGTTACTTATACAGATGATACTGAAGCTGGAAGTTTGATTCATCATATATATGAACCAGTTTCTGTATCTGCCATACTGAATGCCAGTTGAGTCCCCTAATCAAAACAAATGCTTGGCTTGGAGACAAAAGACAATTTTGATAGGTGGCAACTTCAGTTACAGACAAACACATCCTCCCCTTCTCTAATTTCCATTTTTTTTTTCAGGGCTAAAGAAAGGGGGGATTCTTACCTACTAAGTGTTAATCTCCCCAGTGAAATCCAAACTATCTTGGTGAAAATTGACAACATAGTTAAATAAACTGAGCCATATGACACAGTAATTTGCAAGACCGGAGCAAGTTAGGAAAAGTCACACCTTCTTAATCATCCAGTAGTTCAGGCTACATTGCTCTTAATTTGTGGAATAGCTGTTCTCTGGGCCCCAAGCTTACATGTTCAATTAAAATAAGAGTCAGTCACTGTTCCCAGTCAGGTTGGGGGTTTTGTGAGGGGTTGTTGTTGTTTTTTTTGGGGGGGGGAATACAATCACTGGGATCGGACACATTCCCATGCACACATTTATTAGCTGGTTTCAAGATTAAATATTTAAATTAGACAGCTCCTTGACTAATTGTTTCTCACTCGTGACAAGTAAACAACAGATTGCCTCACACCTTGTCCCCCTGGCATAGAACTACTGACTTAAAAAATATCCCCCTCCATACATCCTTTCATTATCACTGTTGCAACGGACGCTGAAGGGTGGGGGTGGGAAGGAAGTGGAGAACAACGTCTTAATTCCTTTCTTCTCCTTTTTGTCTCCTAGGACGGTGGTTGTTATGGAGATTTGTTTTGTAAAGCTTTGAAAACATACAATATGCTTTGCTTTGGAATATACCGATTGAGAGATTTCAACCAAAGCACGCCCCAATGCACTAAGCGGTATGTACAAAACTTAAGCCTCTTGGCCAGCCGTTATCGTTACTGCTGTTTTTCACTGTCTCTGTAAACTTCACCACAGCACCAAGTGTTGGTTAATGGTAGTAAGGCAGGTGCAAGCATTCACATTTCCCCAGAAAATCTATGGGATTGGGAGGCTGGATGTTGAAGGAAAACGTTTTGAACACAACGGCCTTGCGCTGGAATATAGCTTTCCCTTATATCTCTGGGTTTTGTTATCAGAGAAGGTGGTAGAAGTATTTGTGCATATGCTACAGCATGCTTCTTTGGAAGTAGTAAGCTTCACTGAGTTGAAGCCCATTTTCTAAGTATGAAGCATCCCGTGGTTTTCCCCGCTATGTGAGTTCACTACCACTGATCATTTCCTGAATATAGTGAACTTCCATGTTAATCAGGAGACCCCTAACGCATAGGATAGCCCTGCATAAAAGTACTCCTTCAGTCGTCTTAAGAGTGAAAAAAAATATATGGGCAAAGATTAAACCATTCTTGGGTTCACACACTTTCTCTCCCCCCGCCCCACATCAAACCTGAGGAAGTACACTGTATAACTTGAAAGCCTAAAGGGTATGATTTTAGCAGCTCCATTTTTTCCTAATGTACTAGTAGAACAAGCTGATTTTGAACTACAAATAAATAACTGAAAAACTGCCTCCAGTTGATCACAATGTACCAGAATACTTCACTACTGAGTTAACTGTTAATAAGCCATGTGTTTTTTTAGAAGATGTAGAAAATATATTCCCTTCCTCGCTGCAAATAACCCCAAGCAATTAGTCCAAAGTTGCAAAGGTGACTGAGATATCTCAAGTGGTACCTTCTCTCATTTGAACCTGTCTGTGTGCTGAAAGTGTCATCCAAAGCCCAGCCTTGGATGCTCCCGTTGTCAGAGGTGAGGCAGGTAGGGACCAGGGGCAAGCATTTTCTGTAGTGATGCCCTATCTCTAGAATCCCCCCCCCCCCGAAGCCCATGTGTTTCTCCTTTTCCAGCAGCAGGTAAAACTTATTTTGTTTCTCTGGGCTTTGGAAATGGGAGGATAACTTTTAAAAAAACTACAACACACAATTATTACTGTTAAATTCCTGACATGGCTGTATCTGATATTCTCAACATATGAATGTTGTACGTTTGTTGGGCAGAACCATGAGATATGGGTAAATGAACAAACACCACCGGTGAGCAAACACATACAAGATTTCCCCATTCTATTTCCCTCTTAACAATTGTTTTGCCTCCAAAGTAGGCACAGGATTTAAAGCCCCTGCAATTCTCAGGTTAGCAAATGAGATATAGCAATAGGTTAAAACTCACAGTATGGAAAGAGGGTCAAGGAAGAGAAATGGATGAAGGAAATTAGGGAGAAGGGAAGACTGAAGGTATGACTTACAGCAGATAGGGTTCAGAGGCAAACAACAAAAAATATCTGAACTGAACTGATCAAAAGAGCCACAGATTGCAGGACAAGCTGTCTTCCCCAACCTGTCTACTGTGGCAGAGCATATTCCAGCAAAGGGGGCTGCCACAAACACTAGTGTATTCCAAGACAAAATGACTTGTTCAGCCCACTTTTCTTCTCCTCACCTGCCTATCAGCTTTTGGATCTGTTTCCTACAGATATGGCTGCAGGGATAGCAAGACACCTTTTCCCAAACCTGTCACCCTCCAGATGTTTAAGCCACCTCAGTGCTGCTCACCCTTTGAACTGAAAATGGCCTCAGCAGTTTTCTGTCTCTTGTGCTGATGCAAATATCCTTTCCCTGAATGCATTAAAATGGGAGGATGTTGCATTCTTTTGGTGGTGAGAGATGTGTGGAAGGCTACAGAGAAATCACAACAGGTTCATTAAAAATCTTGGGGCATCTCTTGAAGTACCTTAGATGTCTTGCCTTGGGGAGGCTTCTCCAAACTTGCTTCAAATTCCGACTGACAAATATAACTCAGAGATTTGCTGAACCACCACACCAGCACCACCACTACCCTGAAAACGCTTGTTTTGTCTATGGATTCCACCAGCAGCACATTTCAAAGTCAAGGCCCTCACGCATGTTGTTGGGAACCTTTACTGCAGTGCTGTGGGATGGATGCATGAAAAAGCAGATCCCCACAACACTACTGCAACCTTTATCAGATACCTATGCAATGACTGTACAATAGAAGCTCACTCCCTTCCTTTCAGTGTGAAAATATCAAGCTGATGATATTACGATCTATGAGATCTTTATTGTCATTGTCCCATGCAGAACAATGAAATTGATATTATTTGTGTCGAGCATGGAAACCTCATGGAAAGGAAGTAAGACGGCTGTTCTTTTCTTTTTCAGTTTTGTTATAGCCAACCCACCTTATGAGTTTGAGCTTGTGCCGACAGACTGGATCTTCTGTTTGATGCAGTACGACCACAATGCTGGCCAGTCCCGGGCTAGTCTCTCCCATTCTTCCCATTCCTCCTATACGTCTAGCAAGAAAAGCTCATCGGTTCATTCTATCCCAGCAACCGCAAACCGACAGAATCGAACTAAGACCAGGGACTCCCGGGAAAAGCAGAAGTACGTGCAGGAAGATAGACTTTGATACGTGTACCCACTCCCACCGTGTGTGAAGCTGTATCCACCACCCATACCCTCCCAATTGGTGTGTCCAATAGTAGCTTTCCCTCTTCTCCCCAGCCCTCCCCTGTGGAGTTCCCATTTTTATACACATATTTTGCATATGTATAACAGTGTGCATGTGGTTGTCATTTTTTATTTCAATACCATAAAACCCTTAAGCACAACAGCAACAAAACAGACAGACCAAACATTATTTATGATGCAGAGCAGGTGGGGGGAAAAGTTAAGAGCAGATGCGAATAACCCCACTCCCCACCACCATAACTGATCTAACAGAGACTAAACCACATGTAGTGTGACTACTGACTTTGTGGTGTCAGCTACAGAAAGTTATCTAATGCAAGGCTGGTGTGGTAAAAGGGGCACTTGCGTAAAATAATTCACATACATGAAATTCAACCCCAAAGTGATTACTTTTCTAAGCATCAGATAAATGTGCTGTAGGGGTGGGGGGTCAGTTTTTTTGTGCTGAAACAGCCTCACATTATTTTATAGAGTTTTGCTGCACCTGCTTTTATACCAAAGCAATATCAGGATGTTTCTTGCACTTAGGACTTAAAAAAAATATAGAGAGAGTGAGTGCCTTTTTCACATTAATACAAAAATACTAAAAAAATAACTAGGCCTGTAGTTCTTCAATTCTAATTATTTAACCTCCCCCACTTTTTAAAACAATGTTCTAATTGCATATTAATTTTTGTCTATACTGCCACATGAATAACTCTATTTTCTCTTACTTTTGACATTTGGGAAGAAAAGCCATGTGTATCATAAATTTAGAATACAGTTTCTTAGAATCTTCCTCCCTGAGACTTTTATATCTATTAAAAGGTGAATTAGTCACCTTATGTACAGAATAAATGGGGTATAAATCCTCCCCACTATGGCAAAGGCTCATGCTCATTTTATTCAGAAAAGAGCAAGTAACTTTACATATCAATAAACTCTTATTATCAGCGCACTCCCTTCCCATTCTGATAGCTTAATTGTGTGCTATTAAAACCTCCAGAAAGAACTTGCATACACATGAACAGGAAAATCTGGGGTCATGCTTTAGTTGATGGTTTTAGCCAAGGTAAATAATAATATAGCTGTTGCATAGCACCTGCTGAACTTAATGGCAACATACCCTTTAAATCCTTGAAAGGGTTTAAAGAACGCACAAAACAGATTGCCTTGCATTAGTGCCTATTGCTAACTCCTTCAATCGGGGTTGCAAGATTCCACTGCCTTAGAACTAGTAAGCCAGAGTTTCCCAAAGTAGTGAGGAACAATTGTTTCTGGATTGAAACTAGAAATTTGCTTCTCTCTGGCTCTCTTTCTCTCTCGCACTCCCTCAAAAATATATGCTTTTTTTTTATAAACAACAACAACAATAATCTGCTCCTAGAGCAGCAGACATGCTTATAACTGGGAATAGCCCTGTTAACATAGCCTTCCAGCAGCAAAAAAATTCCTTTGTCCATTCAGGGAAGGCTCCATGATGGTATCATCCCCATACTTTCTGGGCCCTGCTGAGGCTTCAGGGATTTCTTCCCACTTACCAGCTGTAATGCAGGCAGGGCTACATGAGGGATTTGTGGTGCGTTCTCGCTTATGCCACTGCCCATAAATTGGCAGGTTGTATGTGGAGAAACAATCCTGCACAGAGCTGCCCCAGTATACTAAGTCTGCTTTTGTACTCTGTGAACATTTTTGGGGAATCGCTGTACAGTCAGGAAGCTCTCTGAAATGACATCTTGCAACCCTCTGTGCTAATCAGTAGCTCATATCTAGTGCCTAACCCATTTACTTGTCAGTAAGACCTAGTCATTAGTTTCAGAAAAAAACGTGCTTTAATAATGTAGTTCAGCAAGACACTGGCCAAGCTAACAACATTGCAGAGAATTAAATGTGGTTCACAGGAATGGAGTCAGGATTGAATGTTCACAGAACATGTTTCTAAACTATCAGGCTTGCACCTTGGAGCCTTGCACCACCTTATTTATCCATTGCAGAAGACTAGTTCCTTGCAACTGCACCTCCTTGCTCCCTACTTCCTCTGTCCTACCCCTTCCCTTTATAGAAATATTAGCTAGCTGGTTGCCTGGCATGTGCTTTATGTTTTAGAAAGTATATTGGGGATGCGGGGAGTTGCTATATAGATATTTCCCCTCCCCTCTCCTCCTCCAGAAAGCATGATGATTATAGAAGCTTGCTGTGTGAATTGACAATGAAGCCAAGCACTTTTACTGACAACCTCTGGTTTGGTGCAATGCCTAAAGCCTTTCCGCCTTACTTGTAATCCTGATTGGGAATTCCCAGTCTTACATACTGAGGGGTGACTGCAAGTTGGCATTACTGGAAAACGTTTCAGACTATTATTGTCCCTACCCCCATCAACCACTCACCCTCTGCCCCGTAAGACCAAAGCAGTACTGCCAACTCATTGTGCTGGACCCTGAAGATAAATTTGCAGAGTTTTGCAAAAGAAGGTCCTGATCTTTGCCACCAGGCATTCTCTAACACACACCAAGGATGTGCCAGTTAAAGTGCTCAATGGGACGCGTGACAGTTTAAAGGCGTTGTAAAACTTACATAGCTTACTTCTCTTTCTAAAGTGCGACAAGGATGAATAGAATGGGCCAAGGTATGACAATTGATGGTTCTGCATGAGCTAGAAAACTGCTGTGGGGTTTCCTTCTATAACTTTGTCCTTGTGGAAACTTGTGACACATTAAAAACCACGTTACCAAACTTGATTCAGTTTTTTTTTTTAATTTCAGATTTGTTGTAATGTCTATTTTAATTTTATTTATTTATTTGGCTTTGTTTCTAAACCCAAAGTAAACTGGCTGTTGTTGATGCTGCTGTTGCTCAACTCTCATTTGCAATTTCTTTTTTCTACCCTATCACCTGCTTGCATTTCATTTCCAACTGCACGTGTCCCCCCAACTGAACAACTAGGTGCTCACTTGGTGAAACTGTTTTTTCCGTTTTTTGTTTTTCCTGTGGTGCCATCTTGTCTTGTCACTCTATCTCCCCACTTCTGTCACCCAGTATACATTCACCACCATTCTTCCCCCTCTCCCCATTTCTAGTGGTGAATATTGACTTGATATTATGTTACTAATTTATTTAGACTCACTCTGGGGATTGCGGGTGGGGATTCCATAAGCTGCTTTGCCATCAGACCTGCTTTTCTGTTAATGCTACAACCTGGTTCCTCCAACAATGGAAGGGATATCAATATGAAAGCAGTTGTCACATGAATTTGACGCAGCAAAGAATGTGTCTGAGGAAATGCATAACTGTATATCTAAAATGGAGACCATTGTAGATTATGTGTTTGTATTAGAGAAAGAAAGGAAAGGGAAAAAAGACCAGAAAATGTTCTGCTTGACACAAAATTATCAATGAAAGCCTTGCTTAAATTGGGCCTCTAAGGAGCTCAATTCAGCAAATACTGCTGCTGTAGGGCCTTTCCATTCTTTTAACAAGATCCAGCACAGGAACACCATACATTCACTGGAAGAGTATTCGCCCACTTTGCTTGCTGAATTGTGCCCTAAATCACTACCCATTTTTACACTGCTTTCAATATACAAGTAGATTCACTTAGTAGAGATAGTATGCATGGGGTTGTTTGTTGGTTTGTTTACTCATTTGGAAAACATTGTCTTTGAATAAAGGCCCAGGTGTTTATAAAGTGTTGAAGCACGTAAGGCTTGGTAACATAAAAACAGATGTGAAAATTATATGAGAAACACACACCAAATAATGTGCTTATTATTCCCTCCTGTCCCTGCCATCTCCCATTTGAAATGGTACTACATCCTACAGGTATCCCTTCAATTAATTTGGACTATAATTCCAGGCTTAGCAAATTTGCAGGTTACGGTGTACAAATTACAAAGGGTATTAAGAATCTGAAGTGATACAGAGATGGGATTTGTGGTGGCATTTATTGAACCCCAGGTCACACTCTTTCCCATGACGTTAACCAAAACAGTTTAGCACAGTCCCTGGTATCCTCCAGAGTTATTTTTGGGGCTCAAAGGGGACAAAAACCACTTTCCATATAGGCTCCTCTCTCCAGGGAGGGTGGCAACTGGAAGCATCTTCACAGCCTTGATTAGCTGCTGCTACCGCAGCACCATTAAAAACTCCCATCACCAGCGAGCAAGCCAAGAAGCATTACCTTCACCCTGAATTAACTTTTGTTTGCCCTCACTGATGTTGACTTGCTTGTTTTGGTGATGGCGAGGAAAGATAGATTTTTTAAAAAATGAGTGGCACTGCAGCAGCAGCCAGCTGACTCTATGAAGCTGCTCCAAACCAGTGGGAAAATAAAAATAAAAGGAATAGTAAGCATGCAAGAACATTTGGGGAACATTTTGGAAGTCCTCAAGCCTTTTTTCATGCTGAAAATGTTATGTGAATGTGCCTAACTTCTAATACTAGGCACATTACACACACAAAAAAAAAAACCCCCGGGCTTTATTCATGCAAGTAGGCAAGTGCAAGTGGTGGCCAAGGGCAGGGGTGGAGATGTGCTGAAAGATGGGGACATCCACAATGAAAGTTGCATCCAGCAATGTTCACTGAGGCCCAGATGATCAGTGCAGTGTGGTTGCAGGCACTGGCACAGGAAGGGGGTGCAGTGCGCTCCGGGTGTCATCCCTGGGGGGGTTACATTGCCGCCCTGCGCCCCTGGGATGCTCACCGCAGGCAGTGCCCCCCCCCTCAGATGCTCACTACTTGCCGCAGGCGGTGACCCCCTGGGATGCTCCCCTTCCCTCCTGGGTGGCTAGCCCTGCCCCCGGGTGCACAGCATGCGTGCTGCTCCAGGTGCCAGCACAGCTAGCTCCGCCTCTGGTTGAAGGTGCACATCCAGGTCAGTGTCCACTGCCTGCTTATGCACATGGATCTCCCTTGCTGGATTGGGTGGGCATTTATGTTGAGATCAGAAATGGGCAACTTGTTCCCCACTGAAGGCAGAACTCCTCATGAGCCTGATGAGCACAGCTGTTTTGCATATTTTAGTAACACGAACATCTATTCCCACATTTTTTCTTTACATGAATGATGGCTAAACTGCGACTGGCAGATGTGTCGCCCAACTGCTTTTATTTTGAAACCACAATGGCACAAAATGCTAAGGCACCAAACATCTCTGAACTAAAACTGGAAAGGCTGGACACGTACTTGGTTTTAAGATATAAAAGCAGGGATCCTATTGAGCTATTACATGCTTAAAGTTATCCCCCTCTGAATTTAGAGGATTTAGGCCATGAATTGACTTTAATACATCACAAACAAGTGACGTCCTTTCACACTTTGTGCAAGTTGCTATTTCAACAAATATGTACACAAGTGAGCCCTGCAACATAATGTTGCTGTACGGAATGCTGCTGTTCAGAGGGTCGAGCCATTAACCCGGCTCCCTGGTTTCCCTCTGCACCGCAACAGTTAGTGAGCATTTTGTGCCCACTGAGTATGCATAGACCTCCCCAGCCTGTTTTGGTGGGGAGGAACACACTTGCGCTTTGTTTCAGCTAGATTAAAATTTCTGCTTTCCCTATTGATTTCATGAGCAGCTCTCACTTCCATCCCTCAGGACATTTTAAAATGGCTTTTCAGTGTGAACTAGAAATTGATCTATCCAAACAATGAGATGATTCTTTCTATCCTTTTTATAGCTAGGTCCACACATTCTACCCCAGACTCCCTTCCATCCAGTTCTGTTTCTCTCTCTCTCATTTCATTCATTCAACATTTCATGCCACTGAGTTATCATGGGGCTGTTTGACAGGGATGGGTTTTTAACCTCTTAGGTTTTTCTGTAAAGTTTTTGGGGGTATCAGCAAACCTTGGTGTTAACAAAGTCTAATACCTCTCTTGTGTAAGTGGGAGGTATAGCTCTGGCTCCAGCACCACGATTGCAGGAAGACTAGAACTGATGTTAAAATGCAAGGTGGTAATAAGAAAGTGTCCATTTGTAAGCTGCATTTGGAAAACTTGTGAAGACAAAAAGTTGGTAAGCAGGGGACAACATTATTGGGCTGCACTGTTCACCTGACCTCTGGCCAGCCGAGTAGCTGCAGCAGACCAGGATGGTGGGTGGGTGGCGACTGCATGGCAGGTGCGATGGAAACCCACCAGTGGAGCCAATGTGGTGCTCATGCCAGCGCATTTACACTGCCCCAACGTTACTGCTGCCATGCCCCTCTGTATCCTGGTATACTGCAGTACCTCTGACAGAGGTCAGGTCAAAGGCACAGTCCCAGTACACCAGTGGTTCTCAAAGGGTGTGGCGCACCACACTTGTGTGGCAGGAGAGGATGGCAAGTGTGGTGGGAAGATTCAAGGACAAGCAAAGGAACATTTAAACAGTTCAGCATAGTATAGTATCTATCTATATTATTTGCAGATTATGGATAGATACCTTTTCAAAATGAGAGCAAGAGCATCAAGTGATGCTGAGGACAAGCCTAGTTGTGTTTTCCAGTGCATTTATTATCAATAAGAAAATCAGTGTGGCACAAGTACATCTTTATTCTGAAAGTGTGGAAAAAGTTTGAGAACCATTACACCATCCACTACCGAAGGTGGTGGATGTGGATCCTGAGCTGAGGCACCTTTACGTATACGGCCCTAATCTTGGGTCAGAAAGTCCCCCAATTACAACTTGATGGTTTTTTCCCAAGCTCAGGGCTAGACTAGTGGTGATGGTGGTAATCGTGTCTGTTTACTTTGTAAAGCAGGACAGTTAAAGAAGTGATTTGAACATCCAAATGCGTGACCAGGGGAGGGGTTTTGAAACCCGCATCCCCTCCTTCTGTGTGGGACCAGCAAAGCATTCCTTTTTTCTCAACCAGGATCACTTCCTATGTGGAAGCTGGGTAAAAGGGAAGGTTTCAGCTCTCCTTACCCACACAATTCTTTAAAACTGAAGCTACACACCCTGCCTTATGCATGAATTAAGACGGACACGTATAATTCAGGCAATGTGGCTTGCATGTTCACCTCATCTGGCCCACAGAAAACTCAAGAACATAAAATCTTACAAGTGAGATTGGGGTGCAGGAGGAGAAACAACCTAGAGCTGTGAAGCAATGTAGATGAAAACCTTAGCTGGGCATCTTCATTTATTTCAGCCCCTCATCGTTCATGCCATGAAACATGTTTACAGGGAAAACCAAGTCAGGAATTGTGAAAGCAGTTCAGATATAATGAGAGCTCTCTGCCTTCCCAGCAAGCTGATTGGCACCTACTGCATATAAAATACTCCCTGCCAAACAAACAAGCATGGGGGTGGCAGAACCTTTAATATGCCATTTAGAGGGAGTGAAAAAAAGCATGCAAGGCAATCCACCCCACCACAAACACACACATTGCTTTCATCATTGTAAATACTCTGCTATGAAACTTGTTACTTGCAAGGTATTTGCAGCAGATTATATATTTCTCTCTCCCACACGAAAGTTTGTGCATCCAGCGGCATTCTGTACACACGACCCCTTCATCTAGCTATACATTCCTTTATGGGGGGGCGTTACGTAGTTTTACTTAGGTCATGTTTATCAATACTAGTTGATCTACTCTATTAGGTCCATTAATTGCAATAGCTCTACTTAAGAGTAAAAGTTGAATACCACCCCAAGAATACAATCTAGTCACAGTTAAGCACAGTAAAGTTCCAATGGTAGCCCATACTTAAATCTCCTCCAGTGACATCAAGGACTGAAGTGGGGGGGACATATTTGGATTCTGTTTTGCTCTGGGTTGTACCCAGACTAAGACTGCAATCCTATACCAATTTACTTGAGAGAGAGCTCTGCTGAACTCAGTGGGGCTTATTTCTGTGTAGACATGTATAGGATTGTACTGTAAGTTCATCAAGTTTTAACCCCATTGAAATCGTAAGGCAAATTAGTCATGATCACAACTAACTCAAGTCCCTTTGATTGTTGTGGGAATAAAGTGTAATTTGCTCCAACCAATATCAGAAGCCTGAAAAGAAAGTTGCATGTAGGTTTTGCATGAACCACATTTGAACCCCAAACTAATGGGCAATTTCACAGCACAAGTCTAGAATGCAGAGCCTTCCAAAATAATCTAAGCTTGCCTACCTGAGCTTGATTATCTGTGCCCTTCTTCTTGCAGAACTCTTGGAAATGTAGTAGTGTTACTGCCAAACTTTGCTTCAACCAAAATGTGAGGTCAGGCTCTGGGAGAATATTTGAAGAACTGCAAAGGAAACAAACAGGAGTTTGACACAACCATCAAAATGTCCCAGGAAAATTATGCACACATATCATATTTAGACCATGGGAGCAACCACTCCTTTATTTCCGGGCAGCTCATGCTAGACCAGTACATGGAAACACCTGCCCAAATAGATGCTTCATACAAATTTCAAATTCCAGGAACTGATTGCCCCTTTGTGGGGAGCGAGTGGGAGCAGACTCAGATGACCAGACCAATTGCCCCAGCTATTCTCCCATCTGCAAAGTTTGTAAAGCAGCAGATCTGACGAAAAGTAATGACAAACGAGGGAGATAAAAAGTACACACACTTAACTTCTCTCAATATCATTTTAAATACCAAGTATTTGAAAAACTGTTAGTTTGAAATTGTTTATGTGATCTTGCAAGGCTTTTAAAACATGAGAACCAGTGCATTTTAACACCTCTATGAAAGGTTAGTTTAATCGTAGATCATACAAAATTGGTTTCCACAAATGCATAATGGTTCATGTGTCACACTTGAACTAAATGGTTTTTAAATGGAGCTGAAATTATTTTGATGTGTACGCATTTCCCAGAATTCCACCCCCTACAACCTTTCTGAAGCCAGCCCGTCAGAAACCCTTCCCTCAGAGCCTCATTAACAATTCAGATATTCTGATGACTTTAAAAGATCTATGGCTATATGTGTGTGTATAAAACCCAGCTTGACAAAAAAGATAAATGAATATAGAAAGAAGCTGTAGGAGTCTGGCAAGCTGTAGATCATCTGAGAACAGACTGTAACTTTATCATTTTGTCAGGGAGAATAATTTAAGGCACTCAATCAGTTAGCTTCACTGTGCAGGATTTAACATTATGAATTCCTATCAGCCAATCTGTTCACATCAGAGCAAACTTAATTAGAGAGTGAAGAACCTGGTTCAGAATCATACATGCTTCTTTTTTTAAAAAAGAAGAAGGAAACATACCCTACTCTTGAACACATATATGACAGAAAAGGCAAAATGTGCCTTTCTTTAAATAACAGGATATTTTTCCGTTTTTAATCTGTTAAGGGAAAAAAATTCTACAAGCAACATAAAGTTATACATAACAAGCCACCAGGCGAATAAAACCTCAGCGTGTCAGCTAATTTTCTAGCACATAAATTTCAGCTGGACACCTAACAAATATAACACACATTCTCTAGAAACTATGCTCAGATCCAAAGTAATATCAATATGTATCTGCAGCAGTGTTCAGGAGTGACTTCTGTGGGCCTCACATGCATAAATCATTAAACTGGGCTGACTACCATCATGGCAATTTATTCATGCACAATTCTTTGTGTAAAGTTTCCAAAGGAACCCAAACAGGAGTTCCTCTAAATGGGAACAGTGTGGATACTCCCATACGGGTTAAATTTTGTTTTGGGGTTGGGTGCATTGGCAAGGAGCATTGCAGCAACAATCCCTTCATAGTGGAGGGGATAGAGACACCCACCTCCTCACCAAAGTAGGGCTCACTTCCATCCTCCCACAGCTTCTTAGCCATGCCTTCAAATAGTTGCTCCTACCTTAACCGCCCATTTCCCCAGTTCCAGGAATTGAGAAAGCAGTCTATTTTTGGCCTCTGCCACTTGTGCATGTGTTATCTCACAAACCCGTTCCATTCCTTTTCCCACCGTAATCTGCCTCCCCCACTGACCCATAATGAAAAAATTATTTTCTCACAAAATATGCATTTTAACAGTCCAGTCTTTAGGGGTGTGGATGAATGACAAATGGCAGCTGAACCAACACCCTCTGCTGGACTCAGGCTGGCAGGGCAGAGGAATGCTTTTTTAAAATTCCTCCATCCGTCTCCAGGCTTCGAATAAAGTCTTCCTTAACTTCCTCTCTTTCTCTCCCACTGGAAACAATGGGAGGCAAAGGGGGCAGAGAAGAGACAGTCTCAGAAGCATTTCTCGATTTCCTCCTGGTTTGGGGGGCGTGCTAAGGGGCAGGAAACATTTGGGAATCTTCAGATCCAAGCTGCTTCCCAAATCGCCTCCAGAACATCCCCATTAGCTCTCCTCTGCTAATCTCCTTTTTCAATGTCAGAGCTCTCCAGAGTAGGGATCGTAAGATTGCACCCTAAAATGGGTTTGACTACTTTTTTGAGCCAATAATTTCAACAGAACATTCACAAAGCGGGTAGCTAAGTTCCAAGCTGCACATCAGCATTTAGTAAAATATGAAGTTACACAGTAACTGTCCCACTAATATTATACAAAAGAGACTGTTGAAAAAGCAGGATTCCATATTGCATGGAATGAGCCCTCTGTGTGCATCACTGTATGAGCAGAATCTCCTTCAAACCTGATAGTGATTTTGGGAACTTGTACTTATTTAGAGAATAGGTTATTTGACAGGGGGGGGGGAGTATCCTGATGGGTTTTGTCAGTGCTGAACGGGCTACTCATGACTGTATTCAGGGTAAACAAAGCCTGGGATGACTACCAAGGAGGTCATGTAGGAACAGACAGCAAGTCCTGATTCAATTTAAATATTGCATTTTCCAGTTTTGCCATTCAGATTCTGAGTTGGACATTTCGCATTTGAACTATAAACCACATTTTGAATGCCAATTTTCAATCTCAAAATTCAAAATGTATGTGATTTGGACATGTTGGTGTCTCTTAATTTGACTTTGGCAGACATGAAATACAAGTCTCATGAATTGTCATCTATCTATTAAATTCCATTATACATTCTCTACCAGATGCTGTCAGATACTGATATTGTTGCACATCAGCACTGTACTATGTCAGCTATCGGATATAGCCACCATGTGTTAATTCCCCAATAAACACTACATATTTTTCTAACGCCATTGAATAACATGTGTGTTGTCTAATACCATATTTACTCGAATCTAATGCTCACCTTTATTGGCCAAATTACATTGTGAAAATTAAGGTGTACATTAGATTCAATGCACATTCGCAAGCAAATACTTTTTTTGTTTCGTTTCAAGGTTCTGAAAATTGAGGTGGTGCATTAGATTTCGTGGTGCATTAGTCTCGAGTAAATGCGGTACTAAAAAAATCATCTGTGAAATATTAAACACTGTTCAGATAATCAAGCACTCATAAAGTATCCGACAAAGAAAGTCACAATGGGGACTCTTTGAGAGAAATGTATCGCGGCAAATTCATTTCAGTTCAAATTTAAACCAGGTAGTGTTTTTCTAAAAGCCAGTCACTAGTCATTTCACTAATCACATTAAAACAGAGGGCAGAACTTCTGACACCAGGTTGAAGGCTCTGGTCACCTTCCACAAATGAGTCAGTCACCTGACCAGTTCTTTTTAACCCTTTGCTTTCAAGCCTGCAAACGTTCCACCCTCTCTTCTAATCAGTGTTCTTGGGTTTATAAAATCTACAGCACTTCACTGCTAGCCATTATTCAAAGTCACTTTCTATTGATTGCTCCCCCCGCCCACACCCTGCACTTTTCTCAACTGCTTTTGGCATGGCACTAATTAAACTTTTCCTTTTCCTCCTCCCTTGTTCTGTCTCTCTATCCATTTTGCTCTTTAGCAGAAAAGAAATGGTTTACAGATGAGCCGGATAATGCCTATCCCAGAAACATTCAAATCAAGCCCATGAGTACACACATGGCCAATCAGATCAATCAGTATAAGTCTACAAGCAGCTTGATACCACCAATCAGAGAAGTTGAAGATGAATGTTGACTCACAGAAGGCCAGAACTATTTTTTTTTAAAACAACAACTTGACAGACTTCATGAATGGTGATGTGACATTTGTTCCTCTTTCATGCCGAACCACGGGTGGGAAAAGTTAAAGAAAGGCAAGTGTTTGCCAGAAAGCAAAGTAGACAGATCTTTGTTTGTCTGCCTTTAATATTTGCTTCCATGTATTTTGGAAACTATTTCATTTATAAAACAACATAATCAAAGCAGTCATGTATAGCCTCTAGCGTTCTAAATTATTTTTATTTATTAGAAAGAAAATATATTTTTTTCTTTATTTCACTGTCAAGTATTTTCCCTTAACAAAACAGCTACAAATGTGGCCAGACTCCAGCAAAATATATATATTATATTCCTGCTCCTTTTCATGTCTTTCAGGAGAATGATGGTCACAAAACAAAGAAAAAAAATGTAATTAGAGAGAAAAAAATATGTATTTTAAAAAGGTCCAACTTGTATTTTAGTAATTCAAAGAAGAAGTAACAAAGAAGAGCATACTAGAATGTTTCTTTCCTGGAAGATGTGTATTTTGTTTAGCATTGACACCAGCTCTTAATAAACTGAAGCATATTTATTTTGGAAAAAAAGTGGAAACGTCATATTTTTGTAAAATTAACTTCATTCTGAAATTATCCATTAGATTACTACCATATGGCGCAGTCCTGTGCACACTCACCTGGAAGTGATCCCCGCTGAACACAATGGGTCTTACTTCCGAGTAAATATGCATGGGATTGCTCCAATAGTTACTACAGGTGTTCATACAGAGCATCTTCCTCACAGGTAAATAGAAAGTCCAATATCACATAAATGGCTAATAGTGGCAATAAAGTAGCGGACGTTAGCATATCATAAAACAAAAATGCAGCAAATAAATGAGAGTCTAATGGGGACTACCCAGAAAGCTGTAGAAGAAATGCTGCTTCCCTTCATTGCTTCATGTTGACTATGATTAGCACATCTCGGTGCAAAGGGGTCAAGCATGGAAATTTCAAGTTTATCACCAAGATTCAGAGGCCTTTAATCCCAACCTATTTTGTTTTGATTTTTAAGGGGAGGGAGACAAGGAATCAGATCGTAATATATGCCAGGAACTGTGTTTAGCAAAAGATAAGGTGGAGTTCCGGTCTTGCAGCCCGAAAGGTGACAAAACTAATTTCCATACCACAACTTGCCAATGGCCTCTCGTGCTTGCAAAAGCCGAATCCAGCCTCCCAATCGCAATACATCCAGATATTAGGTGAGCTCTAATTGTGATGTAAACATTGTAGTTCAGGCACTGCTCATGCTATGCTGCAGCCACCTAATTTCTGTCTTCCTTTGTTAGGTGATAGAAATAAAACTTTTAATTTCCAAGCTTTTGGGACTCTGCCCCTAAAGGTAACAACAAAACAAGCATAACTGTAGTAACAAAGAATAATGAATGTATTCAATAGAATATTTTAAAAAAGGCCTGTAGGAAAGGTCGCCAGGAGCTTTTTCTACAAAACGGCCAACAAGCTTTCTAGCCGTCAGGCAAAATGGTGATGTTTCATATCTGCGCTGCAATATATGGTCACTCCAGCATTTGAGGCTCTAAATAATTTAGCAACTCTCTCCGGTTTAAATTACGAACTGCTGATCTAGGCTGAGCTGGGGCAGATGATCTCCTGAAGTGAAGGGGGACACAATCAGGCAAGAGGCAAGAGATTGGCATCAGGTTCCACTACACAAGCTGATTTTAGGCTTTGTAATTGTGCAAAGTTGTAAAAAAAAACCAACGCTGAGATTAAACATTCTGTGATATTGTTATCATTAGAGTAATATCAGTGAATCAAACGAGTACTGAGCAGATAAAGGTGTCCACTATATAACCCACTATTTTAAGCTAAAAACTATCTCAGCTTTAATGTTTGTCTACTGGCTGCAGTACAAATATATTCATACTCACACCTAATAGACTTAATTCCGGAGTGACTTCTTGGACTGTGACTACTTTGTCATTATGTTTTGTAGAATTAGCTTTTCAAAAGAGAGAGGAAATTAAGAACTGTGAATATAATGTATGGGGAATTAGATTGCTTATCAAAAGTACTTATTATCACCACTTTCCTCACAAAGAGCAAACGAACAGCAGTTTGTTTTATACCCATATCACAATACCCAAAACCAAGGTGGGTTTTAGCTTTGAGAAGTATAAGTCTACAGGCAGGCTGCAATTTGTATTCTGGATTTTGCTTTAGGTCATTTAAATCCCCCCCCCCCAAGGGCACAAGCCACCCAGACCGTTTGCAAAGGCCAAACTGCAGCCTGTGTAGGTTGTGCAAACGCATGTGGGTTGTGCCTGAGTCTGTACTCCTTTTTCATTCATGAACTGCAAGACACAAAAAAGCGGAATATGCCTCAATGCCAAGAGAATTCACTCAATTTGGGTCCAAGTGGTTGTTTGCTTTGAGAGCAAAGAACAGGAATTAAATCAGTTTAAATTACCTGTAAAGAAAAAAAGCTCACCATTCTATTTCTTTGGCCACGTTACATAAAGCAGAAAGTTTTATAACAATGAAGTTGAGATAATAGAGAGTGGCACTCATAGCTCAGCTGTGCAATGCATCTTTATTAAGAATTGGGCAGGTCCAGGTGTAGACTGTAAATAAATACAACACACGGATAAGCCCATGCAAAAATGATCACAGATTGGAATTATAGTGGAAGCTTTCTTACGATTTCCTTCTTGTGACTGCTAATAGCTTTGAATGACTGGATATGGATAGGCAAGGACTTGTGTATGCACTCCAATTCAGTCAGTGGGTTGATAAAAAGTACAAAATGTGGCCTTAGGTATAGATAGAATTTCTTGAGAATCTCAGCTCACTTTCTAGTATGTATGTATTATTTTAATCAAGTTTCTAGCCCTTGTTGCTATGAAGGTATATTGGAAGTCTCTGAGTATAGGTAAGTCTGTTTAAATCTCACTCAAAAGAGAGGATGGCTAAAACAGATTTTCAGAAATCAGCATGGGGAAGGGGACTTTACTGGCCTTTAAGCACAGTTCCTTGCTCTTCTCCAGATCTTGCAAAATTAGAATGCATGACTCAATATAACAAACACTGCAAAATAACATATGCAGAATGAGGGAAACTGTGGGAAAAGTACTGTACTTGGTTTGCACAATTTGTAAGAAGTTCAGGTTTTTGGTGCAGAATATGGACTGTCTTGAGTGAGTACAAAACTTTAATACATTTCATATAGTGGACACACAGACAGCCCTGGGGAAGAGGCAATTCAGTCTTCATTGGTAACAGTTTCCATGATAGCAGTAGCATTCCCAGTTGGCCTGGATCACACACTACATTGTTCCACATTAATATGCAGCCTCAGAGAATAGGAACTTTTCATATGAGGGCAGTTTCATGTGCGAACCAATCAGTTCCACAAGTGATATTTTACACCTATATTCCACCTTCCTTCCACAACAGAATTGAAGGCAGGGTACAAGCTGTTTCCAGGCAGTCACTCAGAGAGGCATTGCCAAGAGCCCAACCTGCTTAGCTTCAGCAAAACTGCATCATCAAGTGCCTTCAGACTATGCCCCAGGATAGTATTCCCCCACCCCAACACACACATCAAATACACCAGGCAATGATGACTTCTGTGTGACTGCAACCAGTTATACATGCAACACCTAGCCAATCCAGGGCTAAGCCTTTTTGGGGGGGTCATCATTATGTCTGAACTCAAGCTCATGGCGTGCTTCACTCCCGACAAACCATGAGCTGTAATCAAGGTTTATTCTTAGCATTACACGCAAACTGGGCCTACAAATCTAGATACAGTGGAGGCTGGTCCCTCAGCCATCCCGCATCTGCCTGGCTTTCTTGTTCACAGCTGGTCCAAGAGGCAGCACTTGCCGTCATCCTCATCCTCCTTAGTCTCAGTGTTGCTTTTGTAGAACTCACCAGGGAGGAAGATGGAAATGGCATTTGTTGGCTCTGCCTGCCATTGGCTCTGCTGCCACCTATTGCTGCCTTCCACCCCCACCAGCCCCTGTCTAGGCAACAGAGAAATTAAACAAAGTCAGATAAGTGGTGTCTGGCTGAAGAGATGCCCACAAATTTATATTCAACAGAAGGTGGTTTTTCTGCAGCTACCTTGTGGTGGCTCTCATACACGCAGAGTCTACAAGCATTGGCAAGGCAGGACCACAAACACATGGCTATCCTGCAAACATGATCCCAGTTTCTTATCCCCCTGTGCCGTCAGTCACACACTGTGAATATTTGCACACGCTAGCTCATGGGCTGCTTAGTGATAATAATTAGAGAGGAATAAAGCCAAGTCTAAAGATGTTTTTTCTGTGCTTTGAATTGAGGATGAAATGAAAAGCTAAATTTTGGAACTGAAAAATATTGGGAAAGGGTTTGCACATAGGTGAATTGCCTCTAGACAGTCAATCCTCCAGTTCTGGTGGTAGAAAATGACAATTAATGAAGGTAGAGCTGCAAGTCTCCCCCAATCCCATTGAATTATGCATCTGTAATTTCAGAAGTTGTCTGGATTAGCAGCCACATAGCAAAATTCAAGAGACAACCTCTTAATGGTCTTGCACCATAAGGTGTGATGACTCCAAGAGCCACACATGATTCTATATAATTCAACATTATACCAATGCATATAAGACAAGTCTGTCAGTGGCTGATAACCCATGATAGCTAAAACATAGAAGATCTATATTCAGATACAGCATACTTCTAATTAGTAGATGCCAGAGATGAAACAACAATGTCAGATGGTTATCTTCACTGTGCCCTGCTTGTTTTTGTATTGTGTATATCGTAGGGGTTTGGTCACTGCTGGAGACAGAAGGCTGGATTAAATGGACTACAAAGAGATTCTTACATTCTTAAGTGCATACTGTGCAATTAGCTGCTTCTTTCACTTTAATTGTTGCACTGTGATGAGTTGAATTGAATTGAATTTAAGAGTCTTTTCTTCATTTGTTTCAGTTCCCTCTAAGCACTACTTAGTAAGAATCACTGGGGAAGAAACTGCTATGTGATCTCTCTCCATCCAGGGTATATCAAAGAGTTAGCCATTCTAGATCTAGAGAAAGAGGCCACAGTAACAGGGAGCCAAGTCGCCAGTTGCCTTGAGGAACTAGTAGGAGCAACACAAGTAAGGGGGGGGGGGTTATGTCGTTTCCCCTCAGCCCCTGCCAATGCAGACTTTTTCTTTGTACATTTTTCTTACTTTCTTGAGACTCAGCTAAGGATAAAGAGTTAAGCAAGCAGAAGCAGGCGAGAATGCAAGGATGAAAGGTATTTCCTCCAGCACACTATTTAGCAGTGATGCAGAAGGCAACCACAGAAAGCTTTCACTATATTTTTAAAGGAAATTCAGCAAACAGTATTAGCGTCTAACTATTAATCTGGTGTGGTGGATGCCACTGAGAGGCAAGCAAAATGGGTAAACTTGAGGGCTTTGTTTGCAGACACACGTGCTTAAGGTACTTTGCAATAATAAGCTGCAGAACTCGCCACATAACAACAGCAATAACTTACAAGTGGGTTAATGATCCATGCTTTCAAAATTGAGCATTCATGACACTGTCCACAGCCAGGTCGGCCACCTCCTCCTTTTAAATACCTTATAGGGTCTTCAAAGATTTAAGTACACCACACACAAGTAGCAGCAGTTTAAGGGCTCCATTTGCAGCATGCACCTGCCAGGGTCACCAGTTGTCCTACACTTTAAAGCATCGCCCCCTTTTGCAGAACCGTACCATTCCATCTACATGGGGAAGACAGACCAATCGCACCCGTGACCAACGTGGCCAGATGTGCGTGATGCAGCTGTGCAAGGGGCAGTCTGCTTCCATGCTGGTTAACTGGTTTTTCCTTACTTCCATGCGTCCCATTTCCACAGACTCCACAAAGAAACACCCTCGTCTCAGATACTACTAGTCCGAAGCACGCCTTGTTTCCTGAAAAATTGACCTGGCCAACCTACATGCATATGACCCTCGAGAACTGACCAGTGAAGCACTCTTAAGCCTGCCTAGTTGCATTCACTTTGGCAGGCTCCCTCACTCTCGAGTGCTATGCCCATGCTAAAGTGCCTCCCAAGAGCAGGCATAAGCATTAAACCCTGGCAGCAATGCGCTCTCTATGCACTGATCACCCAGACATGCTTCCCAGTGGGTTTGTGAGGCAAGCAAATTTTCGTATTGTTTTGTGGCAGCTATTGTTGCGTGTTCCATTTCACCCAGGTTCATTCCCAATTAATTTATGGTCTGGAGGCCTTCAAATGAGAAAAGAAAACTGCACAAATGCATCTAATTGAAATTTAAGGAGAAACGCTAGTTTGGTACCTTAATGCAGTTTAGGAAGATAGACTAGAACAAGAGGAAAAAATCATTAGAGAAAAGTCATCAGATGTTTCCAAGGTGAGGTTTAGTAGACTTGTGTTACATTTTCAAAGCAATTTTTTTGAAAAATTAACTTCTCCTTTGGGATACTGTCCATGACATACATGTGTAGTAGAAGTGGCAAATTTTAAATGGCTTGTCATGAAAACCTTGCAGTCAAGATTTAGAAATCTTGTGAATTATCAGAGGTGGCCTACCCATTCTCCCCACGGCCCAGCAATGAAGCAAATATGGGACTATGACTTACAGAGGCATCTGTCTTAGCCAGCTGTTTCTCCCAAAGGGACAACAGGGGGGGGGAAAACAGGGGTGTTAACTCAAAGTTCATCAAGAAAAAGGAGTGTGGCTTCATCATTTGTTTTGTTTGTTTGTTTGAGTAAGGATTGGAGGGAGAGAAAGAGAGTGTGCAAATGCTGGTGCTCAGAAATGATCTACCTGACTTTGTCATATGTAATATCCAGTGATAAATATATTGTCTTGTAAAAAGGGTTTGTACATAACTTGTACATGGTTTCATTTTGTATTTTTCTCAGATTAAAAATTTATGTATTTGTGTTCTAAAAACCAAGCAGCTATATTTGTGTGGCTTTTTTCTTCCTTCTTTCCCCCATGATATAATGCATATTTAGGTTGGGGGTCATATGCATATAGCAGCAGACGTGTGCATACACTGCCACAGCTTGCCAGGGAATTATGTGTGCAAACAAGTAGCACACGTGATTTCCAGCCCAATCTACCAGGAGCTTGTGCACATAACCATGTAAAACAAGGTACAATTGTGCTAATCATCTATTTAGAAGCTGTAGCAGGGAGCCAAGTGCAATTGCACCTTATTTTATAGGGCTACGTGAACATAGATCTGACTGTTCTGCACTTGTGCAGTGTTAAATCAGAGCCCTAAACCACCATCTTGTAATTGAACGATTCATGGCATCTCAGTCAACTAAAAGTCTCACCCAAAAGTAACCCTTTGAGAGTTTGAAGTACAGTACTCACATATATTGCCCCAGTAATGCTTACAATAACCTTGGAAAGTGAATCAGCAGTATTATTGTCTCTTGCACCTTTGGAAACCCTTTTTCTTTCTTGCCCCAGAGGAAATGAATTAGGAAGAGAGGGCCTGAGTTTCAACTTGCCAAGAGGTACATTCACCAGAGATCCCTTAAATGCTGAAGTGCCTCATCTGATTCAAGGATCTCTAGACTCCTACTGCCAAGCATCTTGAGACACAACTTGAAAGAATGTGTATTTAGCATGGGGGGGGATTATAGGAAATGAAATTTAGGGAGATTATGTATCTCACTCAATGAAAAGCCAGCCAGTCTCAACACTATGTGCTACAAACCAGCTTTTTGTGGGTGTTGGCTTTTTTTAACACCACCACCACAATGTCCCTGGGCTGAAGGAACAATGGAATAAATCTGTTTCCTTTAATCTTCCAAGCTAATATCTAATATCTTCTAATATCAGCTTGTTCCAGGAACCTTGGAGGTGGACCCTGACTGACCAAAACCAATGCACATGGCCAGGTCTTGGAGAGTCTGTTCCCTGATCGGTTTTCTTAATCGGGTTCTGGATTTCAGGTTCAGAACTTTAAGACCCCAGAGATGGCATCTAGTGGGATAGGGGCAGAGGATGGTGCTTAGTAGATTATGGGAGAACCCTGCTGACCTTTGCACCTCCAAGAACAATGCCAATGTCAATGATGCAACTAAAATGTCCCGAAACAGCTAAAATGGCTCCATAGGGTCAGACAGGCTGTTTGTTGACTCTTTATACCAATTACAATAGCTGCATGTTATAATAGACAAAACTATTAGCATATTCCTCTGCAGGGTTACCGTGGTGCATCTGTGCATTCATAAAAAACAATGTATAGCAATGTGCCCTACAAATAGTCAAGGCACATAGACCATTCAAGACTAGATCTTCTGATCCACCACAGACTTATTCTCCCTTTAGGGAGTGAGAGGCCCAGTTGCCAAGAAACATCAGCTGAAGGCCACAGAAATTTGACACAGCATGGCTGCTCTTTTCAGCTTCCTGCCTTGACATAATCAGTTTCTCACTTAATCCACTTTGTCAAGGACTTTTAAAATATTTCAAAAACAGGAACAACACCATGTCTGTTACACATTTCCCCTCTCAAAACAAGGGCACTTCCAGACTATCACTATTTTGGGTGGGATTCAGTCACATACTGGCAAATTCAAGATGTGCAATTATAGTCCATTTGGAGGTGCTGTGCAACAAATCCATCCCACTGCCCCAAAACAGACTTTTTGTGATAAGGGATGGGAAAATGCACTGGAAAGTGGGGGATAATGATTGCTTGACCCAATGTCATAACATCCTTCAACTGCATCAGAATGAATGCTCAGTAAATACCTGACATCGCCTAAGTCCCCTGCAAACAAATCAGGATGGATGTTCAATAAAGAGGCCATCTGGAAGCAACCTAACCTGCCTACTTCATTTTCAGGGGTAAATGGTTTATTGGAATACTGGCACAAAAATAATAAATGCTTGCAGAAAGATGATCAATTTTGTGTTTTAAGGATCACCTGCATGAAATATGTTTAGAATAACAAAGGAGCTCAAGGTGGCCTACTTGTGATGATTCTCTCACAGTAACTCAAGTCGGTTAGGCTGAGAGGCAGTGATGTGTCCAAGGCCAGCTTCACAGCTTAGCAGAAGTTTGACTCTCTTCATCAGACTGCTTTTCACACCGCAGTGTAATAAGGTGTGTGTTTGTGTGTGCTCCCTGCACCCTGCCTTGTGCTGCTTGAATAAAGGGCAGAATTTAAACATAATAATAAATATTATATCCCTGATTTGTATTTTTTGGAATGAAAGTTGAATATTCCCTGAAGTGAGCCTTTGCTACCAAGAACCCTTATAAATTCACTAAGCTGGTTTGCATAACGCAGTCCGCCAAACCATCGCTTTCTGAAACAATGTGGACAGTTAGGCTTCGGAGATTAGTTCTCACCTACTTTGGCATTTTTTGCTGCCACATTGCACTGATTTAAGCCAAGTACTGTACTGGTGAGTACTGTAATAAATGAAAATTCCTGGGCTCCCCAGACCACTATCAAATTAGAGTATCTATAGACTGCACAGTAAAGATTAAAGACCCATCACTTCACACGGCTGCCATTGGACATAAAAATGGATCCGGGGCACAGCTCTTTATGGGACCCCAGGATTTTTGGTTTGTGGTGGCGCCCATGGCACTTTCTCAAAAATCCAAATCAGCCAGTGGGCCTCAAGATGCTGGGAGACCAGGGGGCAGTTCTGAAATCTCTTGATATTGCTTTGTGGCCGGCACTTGCCTAAGGCAGAATCCTTTTCTCTTTCAACTTCACATAATCATCCGGACTTCCAAGAATCAATTTTTATCAACATGCAGTTGAAAGCCAAGTTGGTGGGCATTTTGCCCGGAAATCTGCAGGGTTAGCAGCATAAATGTCCCTTTATATTTCCAGACCTTGCTATGCTATGATAGCCGTCCTGGAAAAAAGAGCACTGTCCATTCTTCCCCTTTTGGTGCTCCAGAAGCGGTCTCTCTTTTGAAGACAGAATAAGCCCCAAACTGGATTTACCATAATGACCCATACCCATGAAAATAGAGGGTCATTCATCTCTTTCATTCAGAATGGTTACATTTGAAGCCCAAAGACTAATCAGAGGCATGCAGAAAGAATTAAAACTCTAAGAAGAGAACTGATGCAGATCCCAGACGGCATGTTTTAAAGCTGAGCAATCACGTTCCATCTGTCAGATGATGTGGCTGACACAAGGCACAGTCAATGTGTGAACTGAAACAGGCGCTTTCTGAGCCAAGTTCTACTTTACCAAACAAAACTACCAAAGAACCAGATGAAATGGTAGCACAAAACGTATTATAATAAAACTGCCACTTGTTTCTATTACAATGCCATGGTTGTGGTGTGTCCAGAAATACGGACTCATTATTAAAACCATATTTATGGAAGACAATCTTACTCAGCTACGAGTGTTCACCAAAGAAGAAGTGTGTCATTGCATGCAAGTGCTTTAAGTGACCAAATACTGATCAGACATGGTTCCAACTAAAGCATCAACAACAACAACACACAAATGCAATCTTAAATAGTGTGTGGTTCTGGGTGACAGCTGAATACTGCCCACCATATGCAAATTACACAGAAGCAGAGACCTGCAACCCAACTTTTGTAGGTAAAGGTAAAGGACCCCTGACAGTTAAGTCCAGTCACGAACGACTCTGGGGTTGCAGCGCTCATCTTGCTTTACTGGCCGGGGGAGCCGACGTTTGTCTGCAGACAGTTTTTCCGGGTCATGTGGCCAGCATGTCTAAGCCGCTTCTGGCGAAACCAGAGCAGCGCACGGAAACGCTGTTTACCTTCCCGCTGGAGCGGTACCTATTTATCTACTTGCACTTTGAAGTGCTTTCAAACTGCTAGGCTGGCAGGTTCTGGGACCGAGCAACGAGAGCTCACCCCATCGCAGGGATTCGAACTGCTGACCTTCTGATCGGCAAGCCCAAGGCTCTGCGGTTTAGACCACAGTGCCACCCGTGTCCCCTTACAGTACATTAGACCAGCACAATTCATACATGAACTGCAGCACATTCCACTTTTTTCTTCTGTGGTTCACCAAGTTCCAGATGGCTGGGCTTATCATCATAACTGCCCATCACACTCTTTGAAGAGTTCAGAGTGGTATATGTGGTTTTCTGCCATGTTATCTGCACAACCACCCTAGGTTAGGTAGAGAAACGTAACTAGTCCAAGGTCATCTAGGGAGCTTGATTTGAACCTTGCTCCAATTCCAGGACTCTATTCACTAAACCACACTATCTCTCTTGCCAACAATCCACTCTACCTTCCATCCCAAGACCCTGTGAAAGCTGTCATCTAACAGCATTTTCTAGCCTCTCCTCAGTCTCTGGGCAAGAATATAAAAGAGCAGGGGAAGATAAACACAGAACAACTCCTGGCTGCTCCAAATTCACTTTTCCTGAGCCTTCAGTGGACACTGCCCACCAATTCTGAAGTTTTATATTGCAAATTAAAGGGCTGGGGATTTCTCTATGTGTTAAAAAAAGGTACAAAAAACAGATGGCAGAAGTCCCCCTCCTCTACTTCTGATACACAGCAACTATCAGAGGTTAACATGCACACCACTGATAAATTGATCTCATCCGCAACCAGTTCACTGTGTGTGGGGGGGTGCATTTTCCATCTGCTACTTACATTTATAAAGTTATGTCTAAGTCAGCTGTCAGAGAGATGCCTCATTCTGCATGAACTTGCAGCTCCACAGAATACAGACAGCCCTTTATAATCTATTATGTATGCCTTTGGACAGATTAATGCAAAGACATGTTGGAGCAGCTGGACTGGGCCCCAGATCAGAATGGGCTTCCTGTGCCAACACTGCTAATATAGTAAGAAGGAGAAGCAGATACTAAAATATCAGCCCAGAGAGACCCAAACACAATTTTTAGTAGGCCAGAGCTGCAGCAAGAGGACTTGCTTTGAGAGCCAGGGCTCAACTCTGGAACTTTCGAAGCCTGAGCTCAGCTTTTAATAACAAATGAGAGACTATATCTTCATTTGTGCAGAGTACATTTTCTTCACCAGAGAGTAATAACAAACATTAGTCAAGGAGCACAGAGTATGCATCAGAAATCCAGAGGTGTCGCTTTCAACAGGTGAAGCTGTCACCAGAATGCAAAGGTGGAGACAGAGGTGGGGAAGTTTTGCTTGCTGTTTAAAAGTAGGAGCCCTGCCAGAAAGCAAGAAAAAAGGCAAATCTTGCTATATAAATAGGACTTCAAGGCCACGCCATCTGTTTTGGCTCCTGAGCTGAAATGGGAATGTGCCACCCCTGTGCCACTGCCCCTGCCTGGAAAGGCAAAGATATGGTGCCCCCATTGGTGCCTCACCTGCCCCATCACAACAGAGAAGTGGCAATGCTGCCAGTCGTAGAGAGGGTGGGATGAGCACAGGGGCTCCGCCTCTTCAGCTTCTGCCGCCCAAGGCGGTTGCTTCATCCTGCCTCATAAGTGGGCTGGCCATGAAAAAAACACTTCAAGCATAGAAGGAAGTAGGATTATGCTGTATTGGGCCCTGCGATTGGCAAACTATCCAGAGCTCCTGGATTGGTCAGGTCTGCTCAGAATACTCGGCAACAGAAGAATGCCTGGGGCACTTCTGGCTCATACCAAGTGCCCTGGAATGGAGAAGACACCTTCCACATCTAGATCTGGAGAAAGCTGCCCAGGACTCCAGCTTGGCATCCACACCAGATTCAACACATCTGAGATTTCAGTGAAGGGTGTTCTATATCACTGGGTGTGCCATCTAGCCAGATGCAACAGTTGACACCTCATCTCACACATTAACTACTGTGAGGTAGAATGCCTTTCAATGGATGACTTTGCCTATTTAGGCTTTTGTTTCCTATTTATAATGGTCTTGTAATGCAAGGGAAGTATCACTGACCCTAAATCAATGGTTTTAACTCCAGTATTTTTAAACTATTCTTTGAGAGTGTCAATGAGCATGTGCAGAGAGGTGATCCCATTGGCAGAGTGTAGCTTCAAAAAGCTTTCAACTAGGCATCTCACCAAAGATTCCTGAGTAAGCTTAGCAGTCATGGAATAAGAGGAGAGGTCCTCTTGTTGATCAGGCACTTACTGTTAGGAATTTTTTCTTAATGTTTCTTAAAAACAAAACTATTCATTATTTGAACCCATTGAAAACAAACTTGCTCCTTCAGACTTAGCTGTTATATCACCTCTTAATCATCTCTTCTCCAGTCCAGCCTAAGCATACCTGACTCCTTCAACCGTTCTCCTTAGGACTTGGTAACCTCCAGGCTGGTCCATTAGGGCAAATGCGGCATTGCACCACCAACCTCAGGTAGACCCTACCTACTTGCCTTCTACAGTTTTCGTGCGGAACTGTTATCTTTCTCCTCCTTAGTCTCAGTGTTGCCATTACAGAAGCCAGCAGGGAGGAGAGTGGGGGTAAAAATAGAATTAATGGCTCTGGCTCCACCTACTGTTGGCCTCTCTGGTCTTCTTCTCTACCAATTTCAATAGGTACCAGCCACCAGTGGTGGCTCTTCACTACCTTTGTTGCACTCCTTCCTCTTCATCGATCTGCTTCTTGAACTGTGGTGCACAGAACAGGATACAGTACTCCAGGTAAAGTCAGAGCAAAGCCAAATAGAGTGGGAACAATTACTTTTCATGATATGGACACTCACTATGTTGATGCAGTCTACAATTGCATTAGCTATGCAATACAGCAGCTAAAAATGCTAACTGGTGATTAGCTTGTGGTCTACTAAAACCTCTTAAGATTGGGGTGGCTAAACCAAGCTGCATCAAGGGTTGGCCAACCCACCAAGGTTCCTATTCTAGCTGTGGACATTGCCCAAGTAGCCAATGTCCACACTGTATATACAGTATGCACACATAAACATATTCAGAGAGCGCCCCCCTCCTGATCCACAGTGGGGTCTATCTTGCTGCATCACTGGGCTGGGCTAGGGTTGGTGGAGATTGTAGTTCAGCAACGTCTGGGAACCCATGGTTGTTCTAAGAGAAGTAGCTTCACCTTCCAGTTTGGTGTCCACTGCAAATCTAATCAGCATCTCCTCTACTCCATCATCCAAGTGATTAAGAAACAGGTTGAGCAGCATTGGGCTGTTCAGAGCTTACTATCAGAACTAGCCGGTAATTCTGCCATATTTCAAGGTTGTGCACTACCCACAGTGTATAATCTAATGGATATTATAAGAAAAGATGGGCTGGGCTTGCTATGGCTATTCTGACATGGCCCTTAATGGCTAAGACACTCAGAAGAACACAATAAAAAATAAGACTGGTGTCCAAAATGCTAGAAAGCAAACCTGACTGGCCCAAGGTCATCCAAAGAGACAGAAGTCACATCTTAAATACAGCTTAGAAAGAACAGCACAAGAAATATATGGGGACAGAAGCGACTCTCAAATCTAATATGCTTTTATCAGCCTGGTGTGTTTTATTTATATTTTTTTTAAAAAAATACCCAAATAAATAAAATCAACAGATCTACCACATTTCTGCAATGAATGGAGGTTCCCCCACGCTCCCTCTCTTCCCTCCCAGCAAGCCGGATGACTTCTTATCAGATGTGTCACTTGGCGAAATAATTGCCAGCAATAATGGTTGCAATAGCAGCATACTCTGAGCACAATTTATCTATGTCTGTTCTATCTTTCAACTTCAAAGCTTCGGCTGCCTCACAGATCACATCAAAATGACACCCCTGTCGTTAATGACAGTGGTCTAATGCAATACAGAGAAGTCAAATCACTCCTCCGGATAGGCGAGAAATGCTCATACGAAAAACTAAGCATGTGCAGGGTCCTGACATTCATATTCAGATCGGTATTTGAAGCAGTAAGGGGGAGCTCGGTTTGACATTCAGATTTATTCATATTTGGAAACAGCCTGCTCTTAGGGGAACAAGGAGCTAGAGAGAAGGGAAGAATATGAGAGGACAGCATACAGCTATAATTAATGTAAGGCTAACTCACAGACACAAAGGAAGGCCAGAGTCCACTCAATACATCAAGCTTCAGCCACAAAGCTGAGAAATCCGACAAAGGCCAACAGGATTGCATGAAGCAAATGAGCAAAGCACAAATCTCCACGTTTCTCAAAGCTGATGCATACTGCTGGATTGTCCAAGCTCTTGTCAGCTATTCAAGAAAGCGTTGTTGCGGGAGGATGCCAAACTGCAAAACATACTCACATCCTCCGTCTTTATCTAACATCTATCAAGTTTTGTTCTGTCTGTCAGTGTGTGTGTATCAAATCGATACAATGAACCTACCCAAACAAAACACTTATCCACATACCTATATTGGCTTGTTTGGTTGATGCAATGCAGTCTGTCAGGTGGGAAGTGGTTCTTGCCAGTTTGCTAGGGAGCACTGAAAATAATGATGATGATGATGATAAATATCACACTAGGCAGAAGGAAAACTTGAAGGCAGATTGAAATACATGCAACTTTACCGAGTAACACCCCACATTTAGCAAGGCAGAAAGAAGGCAGTACACAAGCAAACACTTGTACGTTATCACCTCCTAGCACAGCTGGCTCCATGGACAGCTGGCCTGGACAATCCAACTGGTACACCCTCTTTGTGCGGGAAGCCTTTGTCCCCTAAGCAGAACTTTTGTTCAGCACCTCTTCTTCCATGGGAAAGTTGTGAGGCAGTGTGCTTCTGACTAGGTCACCCTGTGCACTGTTGGTTAGCCATGTCAATCATAACTGATGCCTACTTTTCCCAGGGATTTGCTAGAGCTAGGCAATCCACCCGTTACCTAGTTTCATGGCATTGTTCACCATTAAATGAGGTGGCATTCTGGTCATGAGGTGGATTTTTGAGGGGGTGGAGCAAAACTAACTGAAGCTCCTCAAAACTGGTGGTTGTCATTTATAGTTTTCCAGAATGCCCTAATCTATTCAGGGGTGGAGAGAGGTAGCCCTCCCAACAACTTTTTTGGGGCAGTTGTCATTCCTCAATCCAGGAACCTCAGGCCATTCAGCGAAATTCAAAATGGTGGCCACCAGCCTGATTAACCATTAAAGAGATCTAGCAAGTTTCATCTCCTTCGAAAATTGAACCCCAAGTTTCAAAAAAAGAAAGAAAAGAAGATGCTTCACCCCCTCCTCTGTCACCAAATTCACCCCAAAAATTCAGGTAAGCTTGATGGTCCTTCAACTTGGTTCAAGTCAGCTTGTTTTTCTATGTGGAATAGATTTTTTGTAGATTTATATGACACATTCATTTAATGTAAGCCCCCACCGGCAATCTGAAACTCAGACACAGGTCTGCCACCTCAATGAGAGCATGCCTTTCACATACCCTCCAACAGGTCATGGGGAGAAAACGGGGATGTGCATATTCCAGGACATGCTCCCCCAGGAGTCATGCGACCTGCGCAAGATCACGGCGCCTCAAAACGTCAAGTCAAACCGTTGGAAGGTTACAATGCCTGCTACAGCTGTAGTTGCTGCATTTGCAGCACTGAAGTGACATGCAGTAAACATTTATAGTCAAACTATAGTGTGAGAGCAATTGGCCTCTCACCAATGCTGAATGTCCTTGTTGAGGATTCAGAGACGATGCAGGGGGGGGGGGTCCTGATGCAATGGAGAAAGCTGGTTTTGGTCTGGGACTAAAGTTGCCACTTACTTGAAGTGAAATCTTAATATGAATTTGGCACTTCCTACTATAAAGTTTTGTCGAGAAAAATCAATTTCCTCAAAGCGCCTTGCACCTTCTTATAGTTAGCTCATCAATTTTTGTCTGGGCAAACTCCCACCCCCACCCCCTGCATACGTCTCTTGCCTTAAGGAATCCCCTCACAAAAGTAAAAAGAAAAAGAAAAAGCAATTGCTTTTCTTAAACCTCTGTCCAAATACTCCTTGGAGACTGAACTATTAAATAATCAAGATATTCCAGAAATAACAGTCCCTGGATGAGCTTGTCCCTGTAATTCCATATGAGCCATATGGGAACTTATCACTGAAGCCACATTAGTCTTGATTTAAGGTCTTTTGACACATTATTACAGCACTCCAGCATCACTTCACACCTGCCATCCTGTCAATCAGATGGGGAGGGGGGGAACCCATTTCGATGTCAATCAAGAAATCCTGAGGGAAGTGTAACCTGTTAAGAAGTATTACCCTTTGCCCGCAACAATTCTTCAGCTTTGAATTTAAAGGACATATGCCAGAAATAATTAAAGACCATTCTTTTGTATCCTCATATATAAATGAAGGCATTTAGCGCCAGCAGATTTATATTGTCTGGGCTGAGAAGCTAGTTCATGTTCCACAGCTGTTTTTGCTGCAATTAATAGACTGTGCTTGTCCACGACAATGTCCTGCCAATTTGCCCTTGTAGTCACTCTCGAGGCTATCCTCTCAGTTTACTGATGTACAAGAAGCATTGTTTTTGCAGTAGGAAGAAGAGGTTGTGTCAACCTCAAATAACATGACAATGAAAGCACAAACCTGGCTTATACCCTTCATGGCTGAAACAGCAATCTCCCTCTAGAATTATAGTTTACACAGCTTAGCTACTATTTCTTAGGAGAGTGGTTGGGTGTGGGTGGGTGTAGACCAGGGGTTGTCAACCTAGTCCCTACCGCCCACTAGTGGGTGTTTCAGGATTCTAGGTGGGCGGTAGGGGGTTCTATGGCACAGGCTGAATCCTACTTCTATTGAGAACTGGTGGGCGGTAAGGAAATTTTACCATCAAGAAAGATGCATTAGTGGGCAGTAGGTGTAAAAAGGTTGACTACCCCTGGTGTAGGCAGACAGACAGACAGTGCCTCTGGTGAGAGACACAGCATCCTCCTTGTGTGGTAGTTTGCCCACCTTTGGCTCCACCCTGCATTCAGCTCTCTCCTGTGCCTCCTAGAAGCTGCCAGCATGAGACAGAGGTCACACCCCAGAAACAGCTTTGGCCAGCCATACCATGCGACGGTAGTCAATGTGTCTCAAACCCTTGTTGAGTTTGGAACTTCCCCTACATGCAAAGACAGGCTCCAGCGGATTGAGCAGACGAGACCAATAATGGGTCCAATGGTCAAGAAGGCTGTTTCTGTACATGCTGTGGAGGGAAGCAAGGGGCAGATGGGGCTCATCCCCCTAGGAAGGTAGCCCAGAACTAGAAGGAAAACTCTGATGCTAAACTTCTGCTGCCTTGCAGGATATCTTTGGAAAAACAAAAGCCTAAGGAGAAACCCTGCTGCTCCAGAGAAGCGGACACGGAGCAATGGATCCAAACTACAAGAAAGAAGATTCCACCTAAACATTAGGAAGAACTTCCTGACAGTAAGAGCTGTTCGACAGTGGAATTTGCTGCCAAGGAGTGTGGTGGAGTCTCCTTTTTTGGAGGTCTTTAAGCAGAGACTTGACAACCATGTGTCAGGAGTGCTCTGATGGTGTTTCCTGCTTGGCAGGGGGTTGGACTCGATGGCCCTTGTGGTCTATTCCAACTCTATGATTCTATGATACCCTACACACTCCTTGCAGAGTGGAGTTCCTAAGACGGCAGGATGGTACATTGTACACCTCCTTCCAGTAACGCTTGCAGCCAAGTCAGTGTCAAATGTATTGCCCTGCTTTCCTTTGGCCAACGTCAGCGAGGCTGGGGGAGGTAATTGTTGTCTAGGCAGCCCAGGTCACTTTGGTGCTGCTAAATAAGCAGTTTGACTTCACCCCTGGAGGTGCATTCCATCATCTCTCGAGGCAGACAAATCATTTACAGTGGTGCCTCGGGTTACATATGCTTCAGGTGACAGACTCCGCTAACCCAGAAATAGTGCTTCAGGTTAAGAACTTTGCTTCAGGATGAGAACAGAAATTGTGCTCCGGCGGCACAGCAGCAGCAGGAGGCCCCATTAGCTAAAGTGTTTCAGGAACGAATTAAGTTCATAACCCGAGGTACCACTGTATTAGTATTCAGTTTAGAATTCAAAATGCTAAAAAATGTAGTTTCGGTGTTCTCTCTTTTTCTTTTACAAACGTAATTTTATTTCAGTGTATTTTAATACCAGGAAAGGGGGACTTGGTGGTGGACTCCAACTCCTGTCAGCCCCAGCCCTAATGCAACAACACCTGGAGAGCCACAGCTTCCTCATCCCTATGCCCTTATAACAGCAAGAGTCGTTGTCAATTTCCACTGAGCACTGGAGATGGGACTGAGAAAATTCTGCATGAAGGGACAATGAAATGGCCGCTACTGGCTGCTGCTCGCTACTCCAAGAAAACTACCTACCTACTTAAATTTTGGCTCCTGTTTTATGACCTATTCACAGTGTGCTTTAGTATTGCCTTAGAATTTCTTTTAGAAGCTTGATAGGTGCAGAGTTGAGCTTACCTTAGCCTTGTGAGGTGCCTGAAGGTCACATGTGTGTTTTTTATGTCCATTGAATATTTCTCCAGCACTCTCCTGGCTCCCCCAGCTGCTCACACTTCCCCACCTGAAAAATATCAATGGGAGGAGCTACCTCATGACCTATTCCCTTTCAGCTTTAATTGAAATACAGGAGGCTGGAGAAGCTGGTTAATGAGCACCTGAGACTGAATAGAGCTTGCTGATTTCCTTTTAATGGAAAATCCTTCCTTTTGAATTAAAACAAAAACAAAACAAAACTGTACTTATTTAAAAGAAGTAATGAACTATAACTATAACACCATGGGGCTTTCAGGAAGTGTGGGCACCCAGGAGGTCTGCAGAAAGCAGACCACAAAAATACAGGGCTCTCAGAAAACCCCTTGGCCACCTTGAAGGTGAGGCAAGTGCAACAAAAAAGCTCCATACCCCACCCATAAAAATGTCACTGCAATTTCTCTTCCCTTTGATCATTTCTGAATGGAATTTCTTTTCTCATTAACTGATGATGGATACGTGAAAAACTGCAGAAGTCATTTTTGAGAGCAGGGGTGCTGAAAAGCTTATGGGGTAATTAATACTAGAAGGAAGTCCACAAATGTATGTGGATATGTGGTAGTAGTTTTGGCTGTGTTCCTTCCCAACTAGCTTCGCTCTTGTCTTTTGTTTCATCTTCTTTCTGCCTTACCTTCTTAAGCCTAATCCTCCTCCCTCTCATGTTTTCCTGCATTAAGAAATTCAGAGTCAAGTTGGGGGCAGCCTGATGATCTAAGAAAACAGCACAAAGGCTTAGTAAAGTCATGCTGGAATGGAATAGAAGATGCAGCAATAACTGCAGTGTTTCCCCAACCATCTCTTCCAGCTTCCTCCTACAGAGCTTTATTTTAAGGAGGATGGTTTATTCTGAGTAAGTGTGTTGGTTACTAGGCTTGTGGAAGAAGTGCCTTTGTGACATCAGCAGCCATTTTACCAATCCCATGTCTTGTTTCATACCTCTTGGTAGGCATTCACCTAGATGACAGTGGATTGGTGTAACAGCTACTGATGTAACAGTGGAAGAAGAAAACTACTCATTCCCTCTAGTTTCTAATGGTGGAGGAACATTTCATTGGCTAAGCTGAACAGACCAATATTTGCTCTTCCTTGATAATGATTACAGTGAAGAGATGGGGGAAAGAACTTTTGTTTGCCTCTCCTCAAGTTGCATTTCCTTGATTATCATATACTCAGAGTAACCCTAACTGATATATTTGTTTTTTGCCTATTCAAATTTCCTTTCTCTTTCCTCTTTGGTAGAAGTAGGTAACTAGAATGTGAGCTCTTCAGCTTTTTGGACCAGACAAACATAATGGGGCGCAAGTGGCGCTGTGAGTTAAACCACAGAGCCTAGGACTTGCCGAACAGAAGGTTGGCGGTTCGAATTCCCGTAACGGGGTGAGCTCCCGTTGCTCGGTCCCTGCTCCTGCCAACCTAGCAGTTCAAAAGCACATCAAAGTGCAAGTAGATTAATAGGTAGGAAGGTAAACGGCATTTCCGTACGCTGCTCTGGTTCACCAGAAGCGGCTTAGTCATGCTGGCCGCATGACCCGGAAGCTGTACGCCAGCTCCCTCGGCCAATAAAGCAAGATGAGCACCGCAACCCCAGAGTCGGCCGCGACTGGACCTAATGGTCAGGGGTCCCTTTACCCTTTACCTTTAAACATAACATGGATTGCATTAATGTATTTTTGTCCAAAAGACAAGTATCAAATGGGATCAATTTACACAGCATATGCTTTACTAAAAGAACCAAAAGTTCAATCTTCAGCTACATCCACTTAGCATACTGTCCGGGCTTGTATAGCACTAAGTTCAAAATTCCAACTGCAGCCTCCAAATTTTCTGCTCTAGCGTTTTATCTGTTTCAGCTCTGGGCTGCATTGAGAAGAGACTGAAAAATGGTAAGAGGGCAAGGCCCATCTTCAAAGCAGCACCCCTGCCAGTGTCATTCCCAAAGCTGTGCCTTGAGCATAGATTTCAACTTGCAACTGTGCCTTCAACAGCAGCTTGGCCCACACGCAGCAGGTAGCAAGTGAGGACAAGGCTTGCCATCAGAATCTGCTGAAGGTCAGTTGCTACAGCAGGTGTTGAGATGGAGGGGGCAGTGCATGAGTGCACTGGGCTGAGGAATCCGCAGAGGAGGCCTTGGATATGTCTTGCCTTAGCTGGGCTTAAAACTTTCTGCTATTGGATGCCATACAGGACCTTGAAGGTTTCCAATATGTGAGTACATATGCAAGATATCAACCACATAGGGCACCTCCTGGAGAGGAATTTGAAAGTTCCCACTAACCAAACCTCCTTCCTAGTTACTGCCACTTTGTCTGCAGGATTATTATTTTTAGTGCATATCTGTTTTTCAGGGATGGGCCGCTTTCTGTTGCACTAGAGGAAGTGGAAAGAGTGACTGAGAGGAAGGCCAGGGGGAATTTAAGCAGATCCTAGAAGGTCTCCAATGTTTTTGAACCCTCTCTGATGTATTGACGTGCTGCTACTTTTACTGTATATTAACTGTGATCATAAGGTGTTATTTTTTAAACTTTTTGTTTGGTGGTTGTTATTTTTTTTTTTAATATAGCCCTGGGACCTTTGGGTGAAGAGTGGGCAATACATTTAATTAACAAATGCATAAAATTAACTTCAGCCTGCATTTCAGTGGCAGCTGTAACATAAGAAGAGTGCAGGGTCGGGTTCTTCTTGTGCAGACAGAATGAAATAAATCCCACCACAGTCTAGGAAATGGCCCAATGCACTGTGACATTTAATCAACTGTTTGACTGGGGCCTCACCTCCTGTATCTTTTTTCTGAAGAGAACATGATTCTCTGCACATCACTTTTCCGGCGCACAGTTTCTCAAAGCCAGGTTATAGGCCTTTAAAAAAGAAAGAGAGAGGAGCCCAGTAAGAGAGGTCAGCTACAATCATGAATTTTATGAAAGGTTTGCTGGGAAACCACATTAAATGGCAACATTGGTGCACATCAGTTCTGCTGTGCTTCTGCAGCCCAAATGATTTGTGATATCGTTGCACTTCAGAGACATCATTGCAAAGCAGTGTCGCTCGCCTCAGTATCAGGAAACTCCTTCAAATGCTTCACAATGCACCAGCCTCTTCCTATGATAAACTACCAGTCAGGGACATGTTTGGGCCAGATATGGGCCAGAGAAAGTTAATTCCTCAATAAAACTCTCCAAAGCCAAACAGCCTTCATCCCTGGATCTGAAGCTTGCAGCTCTGGAGTTAGCTTTAAAGCTATGTGCCATGCACCTTTGCTCTAAGAGGCTGGGGAAGCTTGATGCATCTGAAATTCTATCCATTTGAATACCTCACCAAATATTGAATATTACCTTTTCCTTCTTTCTTTTTTTCCTCAATGCAGCAGATGCATTAGGGACCCCCTATCATTATATATAATTTAAAAATTGTACAAAGCATAGCACATGCTCAATTTCCATTGTTCCTCTCAGATTTCAGTTCCTCCCACCCACATAAACAGAGTGTCAACGCTCCCTGAGTTTGTTTGGGTTTGGGGATTTTTTTGTTCTCATAATGCAAAACTTCTATCTTGAAATGCTTCTACTTATTATCAATATTCTTCCTGTGCAGTGCTTTACCAGCATGCATATGCAGCTGTGCATAGTGATCAGATGCTATAAGAACTCAAATTACAGTGCAGGTTTTATCACTATCATTTTGAATGGGGCACAGGAACATATGTGTGTGTGTTAGTGAAACACTGCACAAAAAGAACATACACATGATTGCAACTAAAATCAGCCACATCAAGATAAATTGTAGCAGTATTTTTTACTATTTTCCATCAGCAATGTGGCAGGGAGCAGAATATGCAAAACAACTGAAGGACTTAAAGCAGTAACAAACTATGCACCTTCAAGTCTGAAATTGATTGTACAAATCCTGTTAATGAAGGGGGTGGGGGAATCTTCCTATCTCTAATTGACTATACTTAGGCAAGGTGAAGTAAAGCAAAGTGGAATATTAAAGCCCATTCAAATCTGGAAGTCATCACTTGATATTGCAGCTATAAAGTGTTGACCCATCCAAAGTGGTGAAAATGATTCCTTCCTTTTCTGCTACAGGTGGTGGCCATTTTGCATGGGGGCTCCACTCCCTGGCCCCTGTGCACATTGGCAGAGCATGCATAAGCCTGTCCTGCCCCATTACACCCGTTATGCCCTATTCCAGGTCCAAAAGAATGCACACAAAATGCTCACCGCCTATATTTATCTCATCTATGCCTATCAACTTCATAGCTGTTTTCCGTATCTGGCATGACTGGGAATACACAGAGAGAAGGGGGGGGGGGGAGAACAGCTGAAACTGTTGAGAAACAATTATTAAGCATTTGCATTTATGTAATTTAAGGAGTAACATAAGCAGAAAAAAAGAACTGACAATGAATTCGTTGTTATGAATTTAGAGGCAGGGGAGCAGGCTGTATGCTGAGACCCTTGTAACCTCTGGATCCAGCAAGTGTTAAAAATTAAGCCAGGCTAGCATCCTGATGGGGCGATAGCCTAGGTCAGGCACATCTAACTCCCAAGGGACTGTGATCTACTCACAGTATAAAAAGACTGGCTGTGATCTATCTATTGTAGATGGGGGAAGATTGACCAAAGTTGTAGAGCTTTTTTTTGGGGGGGGGGGTTGACCAAAGTTGATACCGCAATTGACCTGGGACACCCCTGCGATCAGTCGATCAATAGCGATCAACCTGTTGGACATGCCTGGCCTAGGTAATGGGTCATTAAAGGAACAAATGAAGTGGATCTGTGCCAGGCAGTAAACTGGTTGGTAGTTAGAAAGTAAAAAGGTGAGAGTTGAGAGATTTGAGCTAGAAGCTAGAAATGGAAAAGCAACAGGCTAGGAAGCCAGAGAGACAGAGTGATGCTTGATTTCTGGTTGAATCCAAGGCTGTGAAGCAAGGCCCCTCTGGTGTGTCAATGCTGCAAACCCCTCCTTCGTAGCCTTGGGTTGTATATATGTGTAAATAAACCATATATCATAAAGACACCACAGTCTTCTCTGTGCCTCATTCCAAAGGAAACACGAACCCTAGCCTGGAACCCCTGGAACCTTGCACTGCTCAGAGACTGGGGTGGTGTGCAACAATATTTTTAAAGCACAAAGTATGTCCAGCCATAGCATGGGGCATCTTCTTCTTGCACAAAATAAAATACAACCCTGAAGAGTCATGTCTCTCCCTGCCCCCCCCCTTTTGGTTGCTTGATGTATGACTCGGCCCTGCCTCATCATTCTAGTATGATTCAAACAAACAGAGGGAATTTTTCTACTTAAATTCTTCACTGCAAGAGAAGTAAATATCTTACTTTTCTAAAACACCATTTCTTAAAGATAAAATAGAATTCTACAACACTCTCTCAGATAGATTTGCCATAAGTCAGATACCCTTGTTCAAATAATGAACTATGAACACCATCCATCTTGTGCCTTCAGCTCGTTGTGAACTAGCTCTTGTTAAGGTGCTCCTGTAGGAGACTCTGTTGACTGATAACAATGAATGGGTTTTTTTGCACCACACTGCAGTTGCCGCTATACGTCTCTGGCTCGAATGGAAAGGCAATTAAGGAGGAAAGTATCGAACAAGGAGGGACCAATGACAGGGTACTGTTTTTTAAGACAAAGCAGGATTATAAAGCTGCAACAAAAGTAACCTGCTTAACTGACTGAAGAGAAAGGGGTAGAAATGGGGGGAAGTGTTCTTGTCCCAAAATCGTTGGATCTTTAATGTAAAGGCACACGTCACACCGCCACCACCCAAAAGTTGAAGAGGAAGCCTGCAACAGAAGAAAAACTACCAGCCTGGTTCTTGAGAAGCCTGAGGTCAATTCCATCTGCTGATACAGGCTTTCTGTGATGTTGCACGTTACTTGCAGCACAACCCTAAGTACATTTACACAGAAGTCTTACTTATTTCAATGCAACTTACTTCCTAGCAAGCTTATCCATCAGAGGCGGCTCACCTAAAACACAGACTGGGCAGCTTGTTTCTTTTCCACGTGGCCCAATACTGCATTTTTAATGGAAATTGCATAAACATATCTTAGCCAATCTCTGTTCTTGTAGTTTAGGGCCAAGTGCAATATGGATCAGAGCTAGTTGGGTAGTGTAACATATTTGGCTAACTCCCCACTGTGCTGTGATCCCATGTTAACTTGATGCAAAGTGAATACTTCCTCTGCCAATGGTCAGAGAAAGTGAGCTATCACGGACATGCTATTTTTCATGCTGGCAGAAGTTTTTATATTTGAGACTGACATTTGCATGCTGCTGGCCATAGCATTTGGACAGGTTGTCGTGGGCATCCTGGGTTGCCTGCCAGTGGAAATAACTCTATAGGTATGACAAAAACTCTGTGTAAGTACCAATCCACCCACCCCCACATCGTAAATGTTTATGTGATTGATGATGTTGTTTCCTATAGCTGATCAATATTTAAGGACATGTGACAGCTCCCCACACCCACCCACCCTCTGTAGCAAATATTTTTTGGATCAAATGGGTAGCATAAGCATAGAATGCTTTTTATGTGCCCTTATTAACAAAAGGATAAATTTGTAATGAGTTTAATTATTGAAAGGACATAACACGTTGATATGGTGATCTTTTTTTAAAGCTTAAACCGTTAAATGGCAGAAGCCAAAATGCAACTCAGAGTTTCCAAAGCAATCCAACTGCTTGCAGGATTCATAAACCAAGTAAACCTTCTGACATAACTATAAAATGTGGCATAAACCCTTGGAAAAAATAGCCTTCTTGGAAAGGGTAACAGCACTTTTATGAGGATTTCAACTGCACCATGGCAACATCAACCTGTCAAAGCAAATGAAGGGCAGTAAAACTAAAATTAAAAATGATGAAGGGGACCCCAGCTTGCTAACAGCTTTCCAAGCTGTAAAGCTTTCAAATGTTATCTCTTCATTGGTTTGTTCAATCACACATGTCTTTGCTACCAAGCTTTATCATATTATGTATCTTTCCCATCACAGCAGGCTGCTGAATTTGATCGACTTATGCATGAAAAATATATTTTCCCCAACTTCCTCATCTTGCTAAATTCCTTTCCCTATCCTTATTGGTTCATTTTTATTGGTGCTTGCATTGACACCTGCAGGCTACAAGAATAGCAGTGACACAGACTGGCAATCATGCCGCGTTCTGGGATGTCTGAGGCCTCTGGCATCAAAGTCACTGCTGGGGCCCTCCTACCAGGATTGGAGAGGACATCCATTTTAAGTGGATTTGTACACAGAATTTGGTGCTTCTGGCATGAACAAGATTTCACTGCACTGCACAGCCTCTTGCATTTGAAACCACATGCAGAAGCCATTCATGCATCACCAATGTTCCCCCACTCCCTTAAGACTAATTACAGTGGTACCTTGGTTTATGAACTTAATCCGTTCTGGAAGTCCATTCTTAAACCAAAGCGTTCTTAAACCAAGGCATGCTTTCCCATAGCAGTGGGGGACTCAATTTACAAATGGAACACACTCGACAGAAAGCGGAAGATGTTCTGCTTCCAAGACAAAGTTCACAAAACAAAACACCTACTTCCAAGTTTGCAGCATTCTTAATCCAAGTTGTTGATAAACTAAGCTGTTCTTAAACCAAGGCACCACTGTATACGCTATTGTTTGGGAACGGCTAAGGGAGCTGGGCATGTTTAGCCTGGAGAAGAGGAGGTTAAGGGGTGGAGAAGAGCCTGGAGAAGAGGAGGTTAAGGGGTGATATGATAGCCATGTTCAAATATATAAAAGGATGTCACATAGAGGAGGGAGAAAGGCTGTTTTCTGCTGCTCCAGAGAAGCGGACACGGAGCAATGGATCC